GGAAAAAGAATTGAAGTGCCGGCGCGCCGAGACTCACCGACCGGACTCTCTAGGCTTCCTCTAACCCTTTTTGGTCGATTTGGTGTTGGAGCTGGCGTCGATTTACGCTTCTTGTTTGCGATTGAAATTGCTTTTGTGAAATTCTTGTAGCACAAGGTGTCGGCACCGTGGTTTGGCTGCAGTATATCTGGAACACCATCACACTGCTCTTTGTGGTAGTACTCGGCAGATAGCTCAATTCGAGACGACTTTGCGAGAAGAATCCGCGCATGTTTGTGACCATCGATCGGAAGTATGTTCTCAGATTCAGTAAATAGGTGCGAATAATGTATAACACAATACATTTCATGTTTTGTAACAAAAGCCGTACATTACCTTAATTTTGACGATTGTATATCAAATGCACTACAGGATCAAGACTGCGCGCAATAGTACGGAAGAATAGCCTTATAGCAGAATTATAGGCATCGGCAGTCACCTGGTAAACCACTTGAAGAAGCCGGCGCTAACTTGGTATACTCGGGGCTATTGACTGGAAATGGACATTTAACTGCCCGGGTAGATAGAAAATATGGAAGGGGAGGCATCAGAAGTGGCGGAATTCATATGCCAGCCTCAAGTGACCCTCCAACCTCTCTGTGACCTTTTGGCCTTTTCAGTTACGTCATAGTTTGATTAATTGGTTTCAAAAATTATCATTCGTCACTTATTCTATTTTTCAGCTGCAATTCCAACAAGAAATCTGCGACAGACAGCATCAGAAGTGGCTAAATTCATAAGCCAGCTTCCTTTGACCTCTTGTGACCTTTTGACCTCGATAACTCCTAAACGCTCCCTCACCTGACTGATCACCCACCATTTTCGGATTCCTGAGGAAAAATGCTTCTAGAAAAGTCAACTCCCGCTATTTGCCCACCTTTCGGATAATACCACCCGTCTCCCTCTGGTCTATTAGGGCGTTCTTTTACATCATAAGGCAGTTTGTTCCATTCACAAGGCGATGCGTGCCGTACTTAAAACGCACGTTCACTAAAACGAGTTCTGGTCGTGGGGTAGATTAATTTATTTTCTGTTGATGATCTGAGCTTTCCGGAAGGGTTGTATGGGTGTGTGTGTGTGTGTGGGGGGGGGGGGGGGGTCCAATGTCTACAATTGGGGGAAACTTTGATTATGTTGACATAAATGGTATAAATGATGATCATGTTATATATTAATAAAACATAAATTTCTAGAAATAACCATCTCTAAAAAAGTGTGATGCCCCCGGACAGCTGTTTTGATTTGTAGCGAGGTAGGGGAAATGAGTTCACTTTGATTTAAATGATGATTTTCTTAGAGCTTGATGATGAAACATCTCTAAATATGTTTATAAGATTCCCATTGTGTTGGGTGGTCGCTGGGGTTGTTCCCGTGTGTGGTGGGGGTGGGGTCAACATGTATTTTTGTGGACAGAAATGATTTGGTTCATAATTGAGCTTAAAAGTGGTTTCTCGTTCAGTACCTATTTCGTCATTCAAAATATTAAATTATAATGGAACGTTTCAAGAGATCTGGAAATGTAAACAAAAAACCCTTACAGTAAATCAGAGATATGTTTAGATATTAGTTTAGATTCGTAGTCTTCATCAGAAGATTCAAAATCAAAAGTTCATAATATGAGATAGATAAATATTTTCTTGGTTGGTGACCAACAGCTCGCATATCAAGGATATGCTTCAGATATCAATTCACCTTCCAACCATGCAGCAAAAGACCACTACGGCAAGGTGGTAATAATGAAAGGTCTTTTATTTTTTCATCCAGAAAATGTTTCTTCTAGCGTCATCTACTGATGTAAGTCGCCTTACAATTTGTTTCAGCGCCTCCATTAATTTGCAACGCGAAGAGGAGTATGGAAGGGTATCACTGCCAATATTAAGTGCTCTGCTACAATGTCTTTTCTATTGATTATATGTAAAAAGTACAATGTACAAAGTCATAATACCGGTAATGATAATGTCAAAATACCTCTCAGGCAAGAGTTAAATGTAAAACGTCAAATTTTAAGTGTTAAATGACAAATGTTTTGTGGGAAAATGCTTTTTTTGACGTGTCTACATTTTACATTTACGAAAAATCGCGTTTTTAGCTTGTGGTCCCCCTAGAGGTCACATTTATTATCCGATTAAAAAAAGGTTGGAATATATCACCGTTACACGGTAATTTTGTCTGAGTTTGAATTTCATGAAAATCGGACCAAAACTGCCGTCCCTCGTACGCAAATAGTGTAAACATCTGGTATCAAAGTTGTGGCCCCTCTAGAGGCCACTTATTTTGACCCGATTTTGAAGAAACTTGAAATGCAAGTTTATAACCCAAAGATCTCGGTTCCTGTCAATATTCGCACATATTGGATCGTAACTTGCTGAATTATGGCCTCTGATTGTACGAGGTCACAATTATTATCCGATTAAAAAAAAAAAACGTTCGAATATATCACCGTAATGTTTGTTGAATTCGAAGTTCGTGAAAATTGAGCCAAAACTGCCGTCCCTCATATGCAAATAGTGTAAACATGTGGTAAATTAAGCTTGTGGACAAGTGGGTAAGACGCTGGCTCGCTAGCATTGGCCGAGAAAGTTTTTATCCCGATTTTCCGGCGTGGTTTCCCCTTTTCAGTGATGCAGGACGGAGAGCCTGACAAGGACAGCTGTCTAGTCCCCCGGATGAGACGAAAAACCGAGGTCCCGTGTATACATTGGAATGCACATAAAAGATCCCTTGGCAGTTGAAATTCGATATAAGAGTAGGCGATAGTGCCGCTGCCCGGGCAAAATTTCCCTCATAGCACACTGTATGGCGTATGCCCGTTATCATTAGCCCAATATAGGAGTAGAACAGCAGGACGTTAAACCCCATTTCATTTCATTTTGTGGACCCTCTAGAGGTCACAATTCTTATCCGATTTTGATGAGAGTTGAAATACATGTTTATAACCCAAAGATATTGGTTCCTTTCGATATTCGCGCGTTTGTAACTTCCTGAATTATGGTCCTTGAATGTACAAAAAATCACGTTTTTAGCTTACCGTCCATGTAGAGGTCACAATTTTTATCCGATTAAAAAAAAAACACGTGTGAATATATCACCATTGCCCACTAAGATCTTGGTTCCTTTTGATAATCGCGGATACCCGAACTTTATGGCCCCTGATTGTTCGAAAAATCGCATTTTTAGCTTGCGGATTCTCTAGAGGTCACAATTTTTTTTTCCAATTTTAAAAATCGGTTAAGTACATACATCACCATTCCACCATAATGAAGGTTGAATTCGAATTTCTGGAAAATCGAAATGAAACTGCCCGATAAAATGGCCGCTCTTTGTACGCAAATTGTGTAGAAGTGTGTAATACGAATGTTGTGGACCCTCTAGAGGTCACAATTTTTTAGATATTTGCACATTTCATGCCATAACTTTCTGGATTATTGCCCCTGATTGTACAAAAAAGTCGCATTTGCTTTTAGCTTGTTCAGTATCCATCTCTTGCAAAATGTGGGCGTATCCTGCCTGGCAGCCGCTGGTTTTATTTATATTTCTCTTGAGTTTTTATTCCTTGCGTCCTTTAGTTTGTTGGTCGTAGATGGCCCCACATCTTTTCAATAATTGATTTGTACTGATTGTATCTTATCTGTAAATTCTACAGTTGAAAGAGATAGAATTGGGTGGAGCGGGTCTGCTGTTGTTGATGTCTTTTTAATATTCATCCGACACCATTTTGATCTGTGTTGGGAGTTGAGCGGCCTCCGTATACAATAAGGTTAGTAACAGGTAGAATTGGAGGTTTCCTTTCTTGCCTTCTGGTTCATTCGGTTGTGCCAACCCTCCAGCTTAATCGATGTTTTGTTATAATTGCCTATCTTTCATGTGCTTCCTTAGTATTTTAAAGAAAGCAAATTTATTAAAATATTAAAACAAACACTATCAATTTATTAAAACAACAATATCAATTTCATTAAAACAACACTTTTTTATTTCAAAATCAGATTGGTCCCAGTGGTCATCAAAGAAATATAATTATCACTAAATTTGTTGGGATGAATGGTCTTTTAATCTTGGTCAGAGTGGTCTTCTACCTTGGGACGAGTGGCCTCTTCCATTGGTCCGAGTGGTCTTTGGGATGAGTTGTCTGATTCCTAGATAACAAACCTCATCTCTCAACCCTCAACGTGTTTCGGTATAAGAGATGGTGCTATGTGTTCCACGTAGCAAAGCTCAACGCAAATCACATCGGGCCTCAGTAAGCAAAACTGACAATATTTTTCATCAAAACAACATTCGTTCGTTCGTTGTGCCGTTTCTGGAGTTTTACGTCCACTTCCACCTAAGGTGATATCGGAGACAACCAAAACAACGATTGATTATTCATATTTATAACATTTCTGCCAAGGATGTGAAGAAAAAAACATAAACTCAAAAAATTTGAAAAATCACATATTATTAATAATAGGTCAGGTGTAACATATTGATAATTGCGTTCCTCATGTCCCTATGTAGCCTACCTGTGATTGAAATGGACCATTATTGAATTCTATAATTCGTGTTTTTAATTTCCAATATTATATGGATAATATTGAGTTGGGGATTGAGCTTAATCTTTAATCCAGGCGGGGGATTTTTCTATGCCTTTTTGGGGACATTTTAGAGTGGTTAAGCCCGTGACAACCAACTGATCTCTAATCTGCAATTTACTAGACAATATTTTGTAAAATAAAGGTGATGCAAAAACGAGATGCATAACTGGTGTAATCGAATCTATTTTTCCTCATAGAGTTACCCCCCATATAAAATTTTCCCAACATGGCGGCGTTTTTAAACAAACCAGACGATTTTGCAAATCCTGTTCCGTCAGGTAAACAAAAAAGACAGAGGAGAGCACATTTTTAAAAGCAGTGGACAGGGGAACAATTTTTCTCACATCCTGCAAAATTTCTTCCCGTCAGCTCATGTACCCATTCCAGAAATCTAATTTATATTTTCACCCTGAAAGTGACAAGTTGGAACTTGTTTGTTGTTTAAAATATTTTGGATCAATAATAGTTTTTCATTTGTTATATCATTTGGAATTCAAGTAGAATATGCCTACTGTAAAATAAAGGTGATAGATTAAACCACAAAATAATTTTGACCCAGTTTATACATCTTTGCTAATAAGTAATTGCACTACTGTGTGAACCGTGGTAAATAATAAACGGATTTCTTCGATTATGAACAAACTACTATACTTTGGTTATTATAAACTTACCTGTGTGTTTGAAATTACCTCCGGTTATATAAAATCCATTGTACAACTATATGTCATAGCGAATTAAAAAGTTCTCTCTTGTAAAATTGAACTCATCACAAACTTTGACACCGAGAAATAACAAAAATGGAAGCTAATTACGTCACTTATCGAGATATATCAAAGCAAGGCTTGTCTGTCGTAACGGTTGTTTCCAAATCAATGTCTTTGTCTCAGTTGCTATTGTGTTGCCCAAACTCAAAAACTCGAAACGGTCGTGTGCTGTTGTGATTACAACACACGTGATTCAACCTTTACCCCCCTTCAACACATTATGATGGGTTAGCTAATGACGTGACATGTGTAATGTTGTGATGGACACTGTCAAAAATACAAGCAAAAACATTGACTTTTCAAGAGAGAACTTTTGTTTTGGTTTGGATATTTAATTGTGCAATGGATTTTATTCAACCAGAGGTGATTTCAAACACATAGGCAAGTTTTTAATAACAATTATTCAGTAGTTTGTTCACAATCGAAGAAATCCGTTTATAATTTACCATGGTTCACACAGTAAATGAACTAAATAATTTTTTTTTATGATTTATGTCTATGATGTATTCTATTATAGTATCAGTTTTTCATAATAATAAGGTAGTAATTTGGTAGTAGTGGGTAAATTGACCTGCTGCAGAAAAGATGTTAAACCCCAATCAATTTTCTAGTCGTTGACATTGAATCACATAAAATGGTGGCAAAATAACAAAAAATTCATAAAAAATGGTGGCAACCACTACTGGCCAGAATTGAGATAAATGACTAATTTCAATGGCAATACCTTTTTGTCATCAAAAATAAGCCTGTAGTTTTTTTGTCTTCTCCAGGTACATTGTCACTTCAAATTCAGCAAACCCAATTAAGGTATGATACCTTGACATTCAGAAGGAAATTGTTTACAAAATTATTATGTAATTGCAATCATACTCATTTTATAAAATGGAAAAAGTTGAATGACTTAAACTATGCTGTTTTGTAATTTATTTTAGAAATGTCCCAGCCTCAACATACAGAATTACATCCTCCCTCCATGTTTCAATCAACTAAACCACCAGACCCATGGAAAGACTTGGCCAAAGTTTCTCAAGAAATATTAGAATTGAGAAAAGAAACACAGAATTTAAGGTACATTTCCTTTAAAGGTATTCTAGTGTTGATCTTATTACACATATTGTATCAATTACTATGACTAGCATTGCCAACGGGTTTTCAGATACAACCAATGACTCAAAAATGACAATGATGCCGTAATTGTGAACTATCTAGAATGAATAATCTGAAAAAATTTTGAAAAAATATTGAAAATTAAAAAAGTTATAGCGTTTTAAAGAAGGCAAACCAGAGGCGCTAAAAAACGCAAAAAAGTGGCCGAAGCCAATATCTCAGTAACTATACAAGATAGGTCTATGCACTAATTAAAGATCTAGATGTACTTGATAAAGCCAAATTGTCGCTATAATATTCTAGTATATACTTTTTATGTTACAGAGGTTCAAAGTTGGGATCCATGCCGATTTCACACAAATCACGGCAAAAAAATGGACAAATTTGTGTGTACTTAAATTGTAGCACTTTGACATTAATACAGAGGCTTATTTTTGAATGAATAAGCACACATAAAAGTGTTTCAGTCTGTTCTGTTATTTATTTTTTGCATGATAACACCTTAAATCACAATTTTTGAACGTATGAATTATGATGTCAATGTCGAAGAGAAACAAGTTTATGTATGTAATTGGGCACCTACTGGTTCTGAGGTCATTGACCAATGGCCATTCACAGACATACAACAATTATAAACCGGTTATACTAACGTATACTGTGGATATTTTTAAAAATCATGAAAGTGTGTGGCAAAATGAGAAATAAACCTGTAAGCTTTTGGCTGATTTGCCGCCTTTGCCACGCCAACTGCTTTAGTTGTTTATAAGCTGCCATGTACATCAATTTGAGATTGTTTGTTTCAGGAATGAAAATTAACAATTAAACTATGATTTATATAACAGCTATATTTTTGTGATCAACATCACTACAATTTCAAATAAAAACAATAACATAGACATAATAAAAACATTTGAATATCTTAAAAGAGTCCAAATAATCCTAAACAATGAGTATCATGATCACTTCAATTGTCTGATAAATATGCAAAATGATAAAAACATAATGTACTGTGCTTACTAACAAATTAAGAGGTAAGCTTATAAAAAGTAAGATATGATCTACATGAAAGAGTATTAAAAAGATTCATTTGTGATACATGTGCATTACGATATACTATATTATAATATCAGTGGTAGAAGTCTAGCTCTCTTGTTGAGACTTTATCCCATGAAAATAAAAACAATATAAACATTCAGATGGTGATACATCTTGCCGAGACATTATCTATGTCATAAAAATATTTTAAAAAAAATCACAATAAGATCAAAATTCATATCTATTACTTTTCAATATGAAATTAAAAATGTTCACCCACAGGTTTAAAATAAATGATAAAAAAAAAGAACATTTGACGCATCAGGCCACTTCTTTCAGGTAGAAAATGTTAAAAATAAAATAAATATTATGACAAATATTGAAATAACAAAAATAAGATTACTAATACTGATTTCAAACAATAAATTAAATTAACTTCTATGATTCATAAAAAATTTATAATAATTATGGACTTTCTTGAGAATGCTGAGAAACAGTCAGTTTCAAGCCCCCCTTTTTATAGTCTTCATGCAAATTGTATGAGTAGGCCTATATATCATCATCTTTTGTCTATTTTATGTTGTACCAAGTAATATCAGGGATCGCAAGGTGGTCAACAACATTCACAATTTTTATCCTTTGTTAGTGAAATTTCTGGCTAAAGTTTGGTTGGTAGCTTTAGTAACATTCAATATAATAAAAAAAACCTGTCCAAATCTAACATCATTTTTTTTACACTGAAGTCTGTGGGAGTTTTTAATTATGGTCTGAACCCTGATCAACTACGAGTTTCCTCCCTTTAATTCCACATGGTTCAATTTTAGCCATTTTACGAATTCCTACGGGGGATACGGACTTAAAGGACCTAAGTCCGTAACTCAAAATCCTCCAAAATCTTCGACATCGAAAACACGAATTGTTGGTCAATTTAAATCAACATTGATGATGTAAACTTACCGGGAAAAGATGAGCTTCTGATATCCGATATTTAAGATAAAATAATTTTTTTTAACATTGGTACACGAATTGTGTACCATAATGCGCTTCAGCCCCAGTTGTATTGAGAGACTCGAGGGACGAGGCTAGACACATTGCACCAAATCAAATGGAGTTATGTAGACTAGAATAACTAGACGCTAGAAATTTGCACTCGATTGAGATTGCTGACTTATTTCGCCGAACATAACTGATTTGAAATTGGAGTAAAATTGGAAACCATTAAATGTAAATCAGTTTATATACATTCATATTACAGTATTATATGCGTTGCGACCAACTTTTGTGAATTTCTAGGTCCCAAATGTTAGCGATTTAGCTCCTTTAACAAACGGTCAAACTAAGTAGTTAATGAATTGGGCTTTCCAAATATACCAAAATCTTGAGCGTCGAGGGCCTTTTTCGAAAATTTCTCTCAACTTCAAATTTTCAATTCATGAAAAATATCAGAAAGTCTTACCTCAGCTTCTTAAAATCCTACTCGACAGCAAGTTCATCTATTTTTCTCGATGGTAAACATCACGTGGTCAATGTTTGACACTCTGAATATTCATGACAAGGCGTAACACGGCGTATACTTTTCTCGGTCAACTTTTTGTGATGTCTGTAAATAGTACAGCCAGCGCTCCTAGCGGCGTTTAGCATCGCTACTATGACCAAGGTTCGCACACTCCTTGAAACTCCTTGAAAATCCTGGAAAAATAAAAATGTGATTTCCATTACTGGAAAATCCTGGAAAAACAAAATTACTCCTTGAAACTCCTGGAAAATTAACATTTGTGGTTTCGTGTGTTAGCTAACCTGTTTTTTCCGTGAGACTCACAAATTCGCGGCTCTTCTCCCGCACGGGAGGAAATTTCTCATGAAAAATGGTCATATGCCAATGCTACTTTTACTTTCCCAAAGGGAGAAACTCCCTTACTTCCGTTTCAAAAATCAACCTCATGATTGGTTGAAATTGAGCGGAAACTTTTAATTCCGGTAATATGCTTGACAGCCCAATGTGTGTTTGTGATTATTATTGTTTGGAATAAATAAATTATATTGTAATGGTAGCATGGTGCATGAGCGTACCTGATAAAATAGAGACCTGTACAAGGTTCTTTCCATTACAATCATTTTCCCCCAGTAGTCCTAAACGTCCATGCGATTTTGACAATTCTCCCACGAAGAGAAAAAGTTTCACGCCACGTGACTTTAGCGTGAAATCGGAAGCCGTTGACTGACATTTTGCCGACTTTTAATCTGCGATTTTGGATTACATTTTCTTCTCATTATATTACTAGCAATAGTATTACAGTGGACTCTGTCACATCCGATCACTGATCACTCAAACATGATTTTCATGTCCCGATTTATTTCCTTATTACTTCAGCCAAAAAATCGCTGGTAAATCCGAATTCTGTATGTTCCGGATTCCGACATGAATCAGCCGCCCCGTCACATAATTTCCATTGAAACGACACCGTATAATCCGAATTTCAAACAGTGGGTGTGAAGCCAGAAAAGATTAACAAGCAATCACCAATCAATTATCGGTGAGATTAAAACTTGCAAGCTTCGGTCTGTGTTGATTACTTTGATAATGTTATAAATTCTTTGTTGATTATTTTACAATTTATAATCTCTTGTAAGAGTGCGCTTGGTATTTGATTTTAGTTACTCATGTCATATACCGCGACATTATATAAAAATTGTCGCGATTGAAGAATCATTATACATTATTGTATTCAAAATGTCTGAACGTCCTGCAAAGCGTGCCCGAACAGATTTGACATTAGATGTAAAGCGGCAACTTATAGCAGATTTCGAGAAAGTTCCACGACCTGCGCAGAAGGATTTAGCCGTTAATCTTAAGCAAACTACTTTGCATATATTGTACGCATGCATTGATATTACATGTAAATGATTTTATGAATATATTGTACGCATGCATTGTTATTGTTAATTATTTAATGTAATTAAATTTTGAAAGTACAGAAAAGTTTATCATTTAGAAAGGGAATAGCATTCTGGTGATTCGAAGCTACAATATAAAAATACTTCCGGTTTTCGAAGTTACAGTATTTCCGGTTTTGGAGAAAGCTCGGTATTCCGAAACGCTGTGTGATCTGAATTATTGTAACGATCCCGTACGATGTCGTATGTGACAGAGTCCACTGTATAATACTTTGATATCGATCTCAATACATGCAGATAATCTGACTCAAAAGTTATCGAAATATAAGCGCAATTATCGTTTATGTACAGGAAACACTAGCGGGAAAATACCGCTCTGAAATCACGTTTCCAGGGATTTCCATTCACACGATTACAGCCATAGACTATAAATATTTTATATATTATCGTTCAAATTATTACGATTTTTATAAGTTTTAGCTGGCTAATATTCGAGGATTTCAATTTTAAAATTGTTACGAGCGATCCTATACCCCTTATGACGTCACTCAGATATGGCTAAAAAGCACTTATTTGCAGTTTTTGGGTAGCATTTTATGTATATTTTCACAAAATCTTTCAAAAAATTATTTCTGTCATTAAAAATATTGATCCGAAACCGAAAAAGAATTTCTATCTGATGACGTACACAGCAAAAATTGAGTGCACAGATATAAAGTTCTTAAGAATGATGAATGAAAATGAAGTTATTTGATGAAAAAAAAAAATCTCCCGTTCTCCTGTTTTTTCATTGCTGGTCTGGGGGTTGACACGTCTGCTATGTATTTTAAGATATAAAACTGAATGTAGTCATGATTGTTTCTTCAAAAGTTCACGAATTCGTCGCTGTAAATGGACCCACCTTCGGTATTTCGTCAATCTAATTTCTTTGAGTCAGGAAAAAATGTTCTTCAAGCCTAAAAAAAAAAGATACATTATGATGTAGAATTCTATACAGGGACTCCTGGAATCTGGTAAATAACTCCTGGAAAACTCCTGGAATTTTAAGTGTTCTGAATTTTGCATACCCTTAATTGACACAATAATCAAACTAACCCTGGGTTTTCATAAGACTAAACGATTCTCATGGTACCATGTGCATTTTATGCGTAGAAGTCTAAAAAAATTTGCTGGTATTAATAATCTTTTAATCTTTTAATCTTTCAGAAATAAAGATAATGCTGTTGCTCCATCAACTCAAACACATGTAAGTCAGTGTATTCTGATGTATTTGACATCTAGCAAATCTTTTGCTGTGGTATATCTGTGCATTACAATGATCTTGTGTAATCTCTTTTAAAACAATTTGTGGAATTACACAACACATAGAAGAAAGCAATGTAATTTTTCTTTTTCTGAAACTCATTTTTTGACAATTTTTCTTTGCTTTCCAGATAAAAGAACCAGTTGATACAAGCTATTTTCACCGCTATACTGGTCCAGAAGAATTTAAATATGCTAACGAGTTGATTAGTCGTCAGAGTAAAGAAATTTTAGATTTAAAGAATGAGATTCAGCGATTAACGGATAAACATAGACTAGAAATTAGAACTACTGAAGATCAACTTGTTGAGAAAGAAAGATATTATACATCTAGACTTACCTCCCTTGAAAACATGTTACAGCGTAAAGAAGAAAATTACGATCAAGAAGTATGTGTGTAGTAATTTAAAAAGGAAACACTAATGTGTTGCAATCTTTTGGGGATTTTTCCACTTGATGTAGATGTATAGTTTTAATATTGATCGTTTCAGCTTTGACTGCAACAGTATAGTTCGGGAGCCCAGTGAGATTTAATCAAAATATTGAGTCCAAAAGGTTTGAGGTCTGCAACACATATTTTACCCCTGGGATTCCGGGTTATATGTATTGGTCTGGACAAAATAGCCTAAATTGTCTGTGCACAGATTCACGTTGTGGTTGAGAGCAAAAACAACCTCACCCTCTGTTGGAAATATATTGAATGCATGAACAGTTACCATATAAGTAAAGTTGATATAAATTTGTCCAGAATAAGAAATATTCATTACACTCAAGGAGACGATTAAAAACCAGTATTCTTTTGGATTCAGTTGATCTTGCTCAAAACAAGGGAATATAGAATGTGAGCTTACTAATACTATGTAATACATTATAGAAGACCTAATATTATCCATTTGATAATTAATATTCATTTATGGCTTAGAAAAATATATATAGAATGTGAGCTTACTAATACTATGTAATACATTATAGAAGACCTAATATTATCCATTTGATAATTAATATTCATTTATGGCTTAGAAAAATATATTTGTACTAGGTGCTTTAAAAGAGTCATTTTCTCTTTCAACAAAAAAGTAATCAGGTTTATATCTTAGACTCACCTAATGATCGAAAATCAAAGCACTGACCTGCTTGGAGCAAAGCAAAGATACAATTCACAGTTGGAATTCGAAACAAGAGTAGACCGTAGTGCCGATGTCTGGGCAAAATTTTCCTTATACACCACGGTATGGCCTAATAGGTTTTATCTATTTAAAAGTTACGCCAATTTTGCAGATTGATAGACTGAGTTTTGAACACGAAAAAACAACAGAGGCAATGACTGAAAGGATAAATAACCTAACAGAAGAATTACATCAATTAAAGATAGCGAGAAGAGAAAGAGAGGAAGAATTAACAACAAAATTAAAGTCCTGTGAGGAAGAAAGTAAATCAACAGTTGAACACTTAAAAGATAACCTAAGGTACTTTGATAATTTCTGACCTCATAAATGTAAGATGTGATGGGTCTTGTGCACAAAGCAGGTTATGCTTACTTTTTCCATAAAAACTGATACCACTTTGCACTGGATTCTTCTAAAGGGGCCTTAGGGGGAGGTCATATGGCCAATTGGTCTAATGCCTGTGCTTTAGATCAGGTCATTAATTCAAGTGGTTGCTGTTTTGATCCTTGTTGTAGGGTAGGATCAATTTCCTAACCTCATGGGTTTGCTCTTTTTTCCTCGCACAAGTATACTATGGACCAGGAACTGAGTATGACATCATCACAGCCATCAAAGTCTGTCAATCGATGCACAATGGTTTATGGAACACACATGTCAAGTTTCATGTAGATCGTACATGATTTAGCAGAGCCTTAGGCTTTTTTTCATTTGAACAACAAGATGAGTAGCACTTGGGGATCAGTTCCTGGTCCAAAAGTATACCAAATCCCCGGTTGTACGTGGCAAGGAGTAGGGTCGCCTGTCCAACCTTGTGGGTTTTCTCCGGGTCTTCCGGTTTCCTCCCACTGCTAAAGACCCCTACGCGCAAGTCAATTATTGAAATAGAATTAAATCATATGTTAGTCCCGAAATGACCTAGCTTGTGTCGAGTGGACGTTAAACCCCATTTCTCTCTCTCTCTCCAAAAGTATACCATAATAATAATTTATTTAATAAATTTACATAATAACCGTGAAAAGTAGTTGTCTACTTAACAAATAGATATCAAAAGAGAGGCATTTACAAAAGCTTGTTGGCTGTAATGTTTTGGCTTCAAAAACTTTAATCCAAAACTCAACTACAAGGACAAACATGTCGCACAGTCATATAATGGTAGGTCACTGTTACAGAAAAATACATTTTTCTTGGCAATCACTGAAGAAACTTCATTGTGGCTACTCATTGAAATGTTCAATGATCCTCTCACTGAACAATCAATGAGACAATCAAGTGAAAAGTGGATTTTGGGTTACAAAATATGTGCACCAATTGAATAAAGAGAGAGAGAAAAATGGGGTTTAACGTCCACTCGACACGAACTAGGTCATTTCGGGACTAACACAGGGTTCAATTTTATTTCAATAATTCGCTTGCGCGTAGGGGTCTTTAGCAGTGAGAGGAAACCGGAGGACCCGGACGAAACCCATGAGGTTGGACAGGCGACCCTACTCCTTGTTACGTACAACCAGGGAATCAAAACCCCACCAGTTGACTCAATGACAGACCGTATGCTAACAATTTGGCCATCCATCCAACCTCCCCCCACCAATTGAATAAGAAAGTATGCAAACAAACAACAACAGCTGAAATGATTTCCCTGTATAATTATGCTATGATTATATACATACTACTTCACGAATTAATTCTGTTTCATTCAATTGCAATTCTGTTAATTCAGAGCATTTCTGACCAAGAATTGATATCCCCATTTTTACTGGAAGTACTTGTATTTTTCAGAGAAAAAGAGAAAGATAATGGTAGTTTAATAAAACAAGTTCAACAGCTAAAATCTTATATTGGTGAAACAGAGAAATCTCACAGGCCGACAGAAGTATGGAGAAAAGAAAACGATACATTATCTAATAAATTACAGGTAAATGCAATTATTATTTGGGATAATGTTTTCACAAGATATTAACCATTTTCGGGGAGGAGGGGGGGGGGCAATTTGTTCAGCTCATGCGCTTTAGATATCTGTCTCAGAATCACTGTAAATCTATTCTAGGCCTACATTTCATTTCGAGACATGTTTTGACCTTGACAAAGATTGTGTGTGTGTGTCTGTCGTGGGGACAACAATAGTTTAAAAGTGGCCCAATGATGTCAATGTTTATTTAAATTATCAATGAAAGTGTTTGTTTTATTGCTCAATATTGGACATTCTAATTTTAAATAGTTATTTCCATTTGGTTTAAATACTATCATGATGTGGAAAAGGGTGATTGAAATTAAACCTGTATTGAAAGCTAGGCATCAGATGAAATTTGTGCTCAAATTGACCCAAGTACTTTTCAGGTTAGCATTACATATCGTGGAGTAACCAGCCACAGAAGGATGGATATTAACATTTTCTAGAAACACCTATCAAGACCAAAGATAAATCTCCTATTTTTTATTTCTAGATCTGTGAAGCCGACCGTGAGAACTTAAAATCAACAATAGATTTATTAAATGTGAGGTTGACTGCCATGGGTGAAATCCTTGCTGTTCAAGAAGCAGAAATATCTAAGGTGAAAACACTGAATCGTAAGGCAGTATGCATCACTCTTAGTTTTGATCATACTGTAGCTTTTTGAATTTCTCAGTTGAAATGATTCATAAATGGTTGGTAATATTATTTTAGATCTAAAGTATTTGTAAGTATTTAAAAAGAAATCTTTTTGTCAATATATTGCAATATATGTTTTCACAATATGTATCGCAATTCGAAATTTGTTGCTTCAGTATTTTGACTTTGTTTTCAAAAAGGCTATTTGATTTTTAAAATTTATTGAGTTGAATGAAAACACTCTCTTTTTTTATATACTTCACAATTTACACTAAAATTCATTCACAATATTGATGATTTGGGCATTTTGTTTTTTACTGTATTCAAATTTTAATTTCCTTTTTTATGTTACATAAAAAGACCATAAATATATGCAAAATTGTTCTCATTGGTGGTTGGTCTAATAAAAATAAGGTTTTCCTACAAGAAATTATTTTCACAATATATGCAATACATAATTGTAATACACCTGATCGTTTTGCAGTATATTGCAATACCATTTTGTATTGCAACACACAGACCCAACTGTATAACTGTATTTATTTTGAGTTTGTTTTTAAATTTGATAATAAGATTTGACTTTTAAGTATTTCTATAAAGTAATTCATTAACTAATGTATCACTGCACCTGAAAAGGCCCTTAGAATCCTATTAAAAGAAAACTATTCAATCTTAAATTACATGTTACTTATGACAATTGCATATTGTTTTTGCCTTTTTGTTGTCATGGTTAATATTATTTTCAGAGTAAACTTGGTGTCATTGATAAGAAAAATTTGGAGAATATTCTATTGACAAGGTAGGCAGTTCTACATTACAATTTGTTTTTTAGACTGCTGTTAAGCTATAAGAACTTTGTGTGGCTGCAAGTGACTACATAAAATCTTTAAATTGAAGTTATTTTAATACTTCTGGTACTAGATATAGAATAAGATGTTAAAAAATCAGCACTATCCCATGCCATTGTGAAATGAAGTAGGTTGCTTGTTTATCCTCAAGGGTTTTCAAGTTAACCCCATTTGGCCAAACCTACAATTAAAATCTTGTAACATTTTTGTGACACTTGTTTTTTAGATGGCGCGAAAAAGTTTTTGCTCTGATGGTTCAAAATAAATCATCAGAAATCTACGTAAAGAAAAATGTAGATAATTGGAAGATGAAATATTTGTCGTTACAAAGTCAGCTTCAGTCATCGGAAAGACAAACAGAAATTTTACAACATCAAATATCAGAAAAAACAGCTCAAATTAATCTGGAAAAAATTAACTCAAAGGTAAAGTAGCAGCTAAAGCTATTGGATTATGGCCAAAATAAAGTAATGAATTGTACAGATCTGATGTGTTATTTTGATTGTTGAAGAGACATGTTTCTCTCTCTCTCTCTCTCTCTCTCTCTCTCAATCAGGCTTAAGGTCTGCTTCCATATGTGAATCATCTTGCATAGGTTTGAGATGGATGAGCTATGAAGATACCTAAGCTGCCTTTAATTGTTGCAAGTAGATGCCATGGAATCACTCAGTAATGAAGGGTGTTCTTCTAAATCATAAGTAGTTTTTGCTATAGTGTTTTACATCCATCTCAACAATATAAACAGTACATGTATATATTTTATATTACAGAAAGCTTTAGAAGAATTAGCTCAAACTCAACAAGTAGCAGTTACATTAGACAACCAAATGATAGAAAATACTAATCATTTACAGTTACTGAAATCAGTCTCAGAAAGGTAAATACATGAATTCTATTCTTTATGTTTTTGGGTACCAAAATGTAAGGCTGTAGTCCTTTTGCCAGGAATAAAGACTAAAATCATAAAATTTATTTACACAAGTGAGTGAAAAGAGAGAGAGACACACACACAATTTTATTTCAATAATTCACTTTCGCGTAAGGGTCTTTAGCAGTTGGGGGAAACTGGAGGACCCGGAGAAAACACATGAGGTTGGACAGGTGACCCTGTGAGTGAAAAGAGATAGAATTAAGAAGCATTAAGTTTTTGTGGAAAGTCTATGATAAACTATATACATATTGGAAACATTGAAAACAAAAAGGTAATATGTTGTATATATTTGTAAGTATATTTAACAGTATTACATGATTATAATTGCAGTGTAGATAACCATGTAGCTGATACAGTCAAGAAAATCTCTACATCTTTATCCATGTTAAAATCTTATGGTGAAAGAATCAGTTTTGCTAGTAGTCGAGTTGATCTCTTACAAGGTTTGTATTAATAGTTATGGAGAGCCAATTTGTAGACTCTATTGGCATCATCATCAGCCTTGTTGCTTGCAGACCATATACAGATTTATCAACCTTTCATTGGCCTAATACAGGCACTATTATTTTCTAGGAAGCTTTATGTTAAATTCGGTGGTAGAACCAATTTTAGTTGATAAATCATTTCTAGGGGTTCTCTTAAAAAACTTATTTTCAGTACAAGCATATCTCATTTAAATGACGTAAGCATGAAGGCAGTTGACCTGTGTCTGACGAGGTACAATTATAGAACCCAGTCTGTACTGTAGATTAACAAGCTTTGTGTATCTTGTAGTTATAGAGTGTTGTAAAAGAAAATATCACGATCTATGATGTATGAATGGATCATAACAGCCCCATTGTGTAGAAGATAACCTCAGAGTCAAGAGCTCAGTTCTCTTATTAACCAAACTTATTTAATAAGAACAATAAAGCTTTGACTATATTGGTTTAGCAAGTAAATGAGTTTTTCCTATAACCTTTGTATTAATAAAAATACATGTTATATCCAAACAAAGTACTTGCTTTTTATTTCAGGTCAGATGGCAAGAAAAGATGCGTTGTTAAAACTAGAGGGTAAAGTTGAAGTAAAAGATATAGATATAGATAGTACAACTAGTGATCATATACTAGTAGAGTTACAGAAAGTAACAAGAGAAAGAGATTTTGTTACAAATCAACTAAAACAAGTCTCTCAGACATTAAATGATAAAATACAAGAAAATAAACAACAATGTGAGTACTCTACAGGTTTGCTATTAATGCTTAATTTGGGTTAATTAAAAGCAATTAAAATAGGTATTACGTTTTAAAAAATTTTTCCCTCCTGTATGTTTATTTCATCTGTTTTTAACCGTCTAAACTTATTTTTATTATGATATTTGCAATAACCATCAAATTATAAACCGCCAGAAAGCTCAGAAAATGATACAAGTACATGTAGTCATAAACTAATTAATCTACAATTAGAGAATAGTGTCTTTTTCGTGCGTTCCTAGGGGGGGTTTTATGGCTGAATGGTTAGTGTGAGCGCGCTGTATCATAAAGCCTGTCATTGAGTTTACTGGCGTGGTTTCGAATCCCTGGTTGTACTTGGCAAGGAGTAAGGACGCCTGTCCAACCTCGTGAGTTTTCTCCGGGTCCTCCAGTTTCCTCCCACTGCTAAAGACCCCTACGCGCAAGCAAATCATTGAAATAAAATTAAACCATATGTTAGTCCCGAAATGACCTAGTTTGTGTCGAGTGGACGTTAAACCCCATTACTCTCTCTCTCTCGTTCGTTCCTAGAGTTTTACATCCACTTCCACCTAAGGTGATATCATAGACGAGAATAGTGTCTCCAGTGCTCTTCCTTTTATATAGTCTTGCAAGTTTACTACATTAACAAAACAACTTGTCAAATAATATATCTTTAAATGATTTAATAGTTGTTTTATAATTGACTGAGATTTTTAGAATTTTATTTACGTCTATTTTAGATGAGAATGAGATAATTACATTAAAGAAAACCGTAGAAGATTTACAGATTTGTCTACAAAATAAATCACAGGTATGCTTTCTCAGAGATTTATGAGGGAAAATTTTAACATTTTTAAACTGTTCAAAATCACTCTGTTTATTGAATTCAATTTGGGGATCACGTGGCTAAGTGGGTAAGACGCTAGCTCGCTAGCCTGGAGGTCGGGTGTTTGATCCCTGCATTGGTCGAGAAAGTTCATCCAGATTTTCCGGCGTGGTTCTCCCTTGTCAGTGATGCAGGACGGAGGGGCTGACAAGGAAAGCTGTCTAGTCGTTCGGATGGGACGAAAAACCGAGGTCCCGTTAACACATTGGCGTGCTCGTAAAAGATCCCTTGGCAGTTGGAATTCGATATAAGAGTAGGCCGTAGTGCCGCTGTCCGGGCAAAATTTCCCTCATAGCACACTGTATGGCGTATGCCCGTCTACATTAGCCCAGGTTAGGAGCAGAAAAGTAGGACGTTAAACTCCATTTCAGTTCATTTTGAATTCAATTTAGTTTTGAAACATTACCTACCAATTATTGAGTTAGTATTAAATCAGAATATTTAAAGAAATTATAAAACATAGATTTAAAAATATTTTCTCTTTTAGTTACATTAGTAATAATCAAATTAGATCAAGATTGTATGTAAACTTCAGACAAATATTACCAATAATTGCTGACATACAAACATTTATTCTATCAATTTACAAGTCATAGGTTTTCTTTTTCAAGAAGTTGAATAATGAACATTTGTGAAAAATACCTTAGTCTTAGTAGGTAAATTCTTTGATTTTCATTAATTAGATAAGTTTGTTTTGAATATAATATTCAATATGAATTACATATATTATTTGAAGGCATTTGAGAACCTGTCAGAAAGACTAGAAGACAGGGAGTTAGAACGAGAAGAGATGAATGAAAGATTAGAGAGTTTATCAAAGGAACTTGGACGTCAGAAAAACATGATGGAACAAGGTTTGTAGATAGTATCTCATAATTCAGGTAGTCTTTTTTTTTTTTTTTTTTAGCTTTCCTTGAAAAGGGGAACGCAGTGATAGTGAGGTTAGAATACTGTGCTCATAAACCGACTGTCATTGGTTTGTGACTCACAGAAACCTTCAGAATTTTTCAAACTTGGTTCATACTCATCACTTAATAATTGATTAAAATTCTGTTGTTTGGAAACATTTCATCATTTTATACTTATAATCAAGCATCCCCTTAGATATACATCAGGCTATTTATAAGAATATATTTTATATTTTTGTGCAGCTATTGAAGATCAGAAAATAGCTGATGAAGAGACAATGAGACAAGAAATGGTAGAATTAGAGAAACAAGTTAATCAAGCTAGAAGAGAACAGACCAAAGCTGGTATAGTACTATAATTAATATAAATAAACACCTCCTGTCATTAATCTATATAAATAAAATCAAAGATGTCTGTGTGTATGTTCGCCCATCATGCTTCATCACCACGATCCATCCCCAAAATTGAAAAGTGGCAAGAGTGAAGGCCTGGACGGGATAAGTAATGAAATTTTAAAAGCTTTAAAATTCCAAATTTCAACGCACTTAATGTACTTATTCAATAATTGTTTACAACTTGGTTACTTTCCCCAGAGATGGGTAGATGGTTTCATTGTCCCAATACCTAAAGTAAAGTCACCACTTTCAGTAAATGATTTCAGAGGCCTGACAATAACTAGTTGTATAGGTAAATTACTTAAAAGTAAGTAGATGGTTTCATTGTCCCAATACCTAAAGTAAAGTCACCACTTTCAGTAAATGATTTCCGAGGCCTGACAATAACTAGTTGTATAGGTAAATTACTTAAAAGTATTTTGACAAGTAGATTGACTAAATATTTTCAATCGCAGGCAATGCCATCCGATTTTCAATGCGGTTTCCGTAAGAATTACAAAACATCAGACAACATAATTATTCTGAGGTCTCTTGTTGATAAATGTTTTAAACAAAATAAATATTTGTATGCATGTTTTATAGACTTTAATAAAGCATTTGATCGCGTATGGAGAGATGGTTTGTTTTACAAACTACAGTCGTTAGGTGTCACTGGACCGCTATACAATTGCCTAAAAAACATGTTTTTTAATAGTAACCTTCAGGTCAAAGTTGGAAATTTTCTCAGTGATGAATTTAAAAATGATGTTGGGGTCATGCAAGGAAATAATTTAAGTCCCCTACTATTTAATATATTCATAGATAAACTACCTGAACTTCTGATGCAATCTACGGACCTACCAAGTCTAGGTGATAAACCCATACCAGCTCTTTTGTATGCGGATGATATTATTATATTCTCTTTAACACCAAGTGGACTCCAATCATCCCTTGATATTGTTGGCTCATATTGTAAACAATGGAGATTAAAGATTAATATTAAGAAAACACAAATTATGCTTTTTAATAAATCTGGCAAGACATGTTTCCAGAAATTTTATATAAACAATGCTGAACTTGAAAATGTTAGTGAATACAAATATCTAGGTATCACAGTTCAGTCATCCAGTTCTCTTAGTAAAGGCGTTGAGTACTTAATGGATAAATCATTGAAGGCATACTTTAAAATTATAAAAGCTTTTTCTCATATTAATGTTTCACCTCATATATTATTTAAACTGTTTGACTCATTAGTCAAACCTATCACCTTGTATGCATGTGATGCTTGGGGTGATTATATTACCACAAACATTAATAACACCTTAAAAATTGAAAAGCTACATTTTAATTTGTGCAAGAGTATTTTGAAAATTCACAAAAAGGCTACTAACTCAGTTGTTCTTGCTGAACTAGGCAGATTTCCTCTCTTTCTAGATGTGAAATATAGAATGGTTAAGACATGGATAGAATCTGAAGTTAAATGTTATAACTCATTAATGTCGCTAGCTATCACAGAGATGAAGACTTCTAATAGTAAATGGCTTAGTCAAATACAAGTTATATTAGAGAAAACAGGAATGGGTGAAATATTTATTGCCACAAAAAATGGAAATTTTAATACAGAATTCTTTTTACACTTATTTAAAACCCGATTACATGATATATATATCCAGTCCTGGAAACACACTGACCAGAGTAGGACTATCCAGCATCTAAATGGACATATGAAATCAAATTCAAAACATGATTTTTATTATAATATTAAGAATTCGTATAGCATGGAAAATTATTTATGTGCACTGAAAAAAGATGAAAGGGGTGCACTCAGTAAATTTAGACTTAGTGCACATAAACTGGAAGTTGAAAAGGGAAGATACAGTAAACCCTTTATTCCTCGTAATGAGAGATTGTGTAAAAACTGCAACCTTCAATTAGTAGAAGATGAAAAACATTTCTTATTGAATTGTCTATTTTATGATAATTTGAGACAACAATATCTCTCACCATTCATCAAACCTCATATAACTGATTCAATTCAACTTAATATATTAATGAATAATGAAGAGTGTATAGAAAATGTTGGAAGTTTTGTATTAAATGCCTTTATGAAAAGAGGAATATAAATATATCTTTGTTAATTGATTTGTAACATTAAATATTGCCGATTATTAGATTCATATGTACCACTCGTCTTGAAAGCTAATGTTAATTCGTAAGATATGTAGGGGGGTTGGATGGCTGAATGGTTAGCGTGCGCGCGCTGCATCATAAAGTCTGTCATTGAGTCGACTGGCGTGGTTTCGAATCCCCGGTTGTACGTGGCAAGGAGTAGGGTCGCCTGTCCAACCTCGTGGGTTTTCTCCGGGTCCTCCAGTTTCCTCCCACTGCTAAAGACCCCTACGCGCAAGCAAATCATTGAAATAAAATTAAACCATATGTTAGTCCCGAAATGACCTAGTTTGTGTCGAGTGGACGTTAAACCCCATTTCTCTCCTCTCTCGTAAGATATGTAGATAGATATTGTTATGCATCACAATGTGTAATACTTGTTACACCTACAGCGCCTTCATCAGGCCTGTGGTGAGATCAAAATAGTTTTTCGTTATGAAATTAACAGATTTAAAAAAAGCATCTTAAAAAGTTACGGAAAATGATTGAAAACGTATGTTTGTTGGACTTAATTGCTGTCAAATACTGCCATTAGTTATAAAATGTTATTTTCTTAAGCCAAAATAGGGGTGTTCTTACGGACCATGGCAATTCTTCTTTCAACACCAGTCTTTAAGGTAAACAAAGCATGTGTTTCATAGTGACAATGTTTATCAACTATATATTTACATAAATATTACCCGTTTTGGTACCTAAATGCAACTATAATAATTTTCTAATATATTACCAAATGATTTATGTACAAACCCCCCCAAAAAAAACCAATGAATATATATCAGTTATCATTGAAAGTAAAGAATTAAAAGTGTTATGATTTGTAGTCTCGGACACAACGCCGGATTAACCATGGTGGGGGGCCTGGAACATGTGGGGGGCCCCTGATCACCGACCGCGGAGCTGTGGCCGGTGAAGCCGGCTACCTAGAGGCCGAAGTCATGAAGCTCAGCAAGGGGTGTCTGGGGGTTCTCCCTCAGGAAATTTTCAGAAATTGGAGGCCGGAAACGTGATTTCCAGGCATTTCAGGCACTTGTGTTGGAGCCATTTAGAAGTACCTCCCCCAGACAAAAATAAAATTCTGCCACAAAATTAGCACATTCTGGCATTATTTCAGTGGACCAATCCATGCGAGTGCTATGAAATGATGGCATTTCTAGAGGAGGGGGCTGGGACCCATTGAGCCCGTTAAATCCGCCACTGTAAGTGAGCAGAGCTACATCAAACCTAATTTTGAAGTCGCTCAGTGATAAATAACGGGTTCACTTGATTCGGAATCATATTATATCCCCAACGATGATTTGATGAATGGAGGCCGTAATGTTACGACCAAGCCGGACTCGATTTTTGACGAACGTCTAACACTGTAACTTAAACTGTAAGTACCAAATGGTAATGCGAGATTTAATCAAGAAATCTGAATACTTCGTGTGATCATGATGTGTATCTCATCAAATTCAGCTTATACCGACAACAAATATCAACAACAACAACTACAGCTTATATACAATCGTACGTCAATCTGAGGCAAAATTCGCGCTACTCGAAATGATGGGGACGGGTAATTTGTTCGAGTTATACGATAATTCGAGTTAGACGATGTTCGGTTCGATAGACGATCATGTGTTACACCCTTAGATAAAGCGACAAAAAGCGTTTATTTTTCAAATCTTCAAGTTTCCGGGAAAGTTGGCAAGGCACACTCGCCTGCAAGATCCATTATTTACAATTCGAGTTAGGCGATGTAAATAATAAGACTTTGGTTCGAGCTATGCGATAATTCGAGTTACAGTTTCCGAGTTATTCGATATTTTATAAAAGGAAAGCGAAAGAAAGTATTCGCCTGTAAATAGCGTTTAATTCCGGTGATCCACTCAGAAAACATCTCGGAGCATCGAAGGGGTCCCGTCAGTAGGTCACCGGCCGTTGGAGTCCTCGGTCCGACCATGTTCGAGTCGCGCAACTGAGATTTTTGTGGGGGGCCCTCGAATGTCTGGGGCCTGGGCCCCATGGTGCCCCGTGGTTAATCCGGCGTTGCTCGTACAACTAAACCTGGTACATTTTAGACGTCTTGGTAACCAAGACTATGTTGGGAGGTTTTCTACCATACACCATCTTGAAAATTAATGTTATTTTTTAAGACATGTAGATAGATATTGTTATGCTTCACAATGTGAAACGTTTGTTGTAACTTTCATACTCATGCCTGTACATGTAGTTGTGAATAAACTGTTATTATTATTATTATTATTATTATGTGGTATTAAATTAACCAGAATGAATCTGTGAATGTTTTAGGCCAGGATTTGGTTCAGACCAGGCCCCGAGTTCACAAAGCATTCTCAGACTTAAGTTGAGAATTTACTCAAACTTGTTCACCTTATTTTAACTAAAATATAGCCCTTTCTAAAACTTTTGTTGTTTTAAGGTATCAAATAAGTCTGAGAATGCTTTGTGAACTCGGGGCCAGGTATCCCACCTAGTATTGTACAAATCGATGTCTAAAAGGAGTTAGTGTCTTGTATTATAAACATAAAAATAAGCCACCATTTACTAGATAACATTGTTGTATTACTGAAAAGTCTCATATCTTGATTCATCACTGTTAGATATTTTTTTTTAGTAGCTTTATGTTTGACCATTAACTGCCTTAATTTCTTGCTTGCATTAATTTCTGTTTTATGGTATGTTATATTTAGGGTAAGGAATAGATTAGTATGTTATAATTAGAGTAAGGATTTGTTAGTGTTAATTAGGGTGTGGATTTTATTATTAAGAAGATGTGTATTTAGGTTAAAGTTTAAAATTTGATGATAAAGGTGTCGATTAGCATGTTATAATTAGTGTAAGGATAAATATGTTATGATTATAAATAAGGATCAGTATAATATATTTAGGGTAAGGATTAGTGTGTTATACACAGGGTAAGGATAAGTACAAATGTATGTTATAATTATAAGGATTAGTATGTTATAAATAGGGTAAGGATTAGTATGTTATAAATAGGGTAAGGATTAGTATGTTATAATTATAAGGATTAGTATGTTGTATTTATGCTAAGGATCAGTATGTTATAATTAGGATAATGATTGGTATGTTAAATTTATGGTAAGGGATTGATATCTTATAATTAGGGTAAGGATTAGTATGTTATGATTATAAGGATTAGTGTGTTATATTTATGGTAAGGATTAGTATGTTATAATTAGGATAAGGATTAGTATGTTATAATTAGGGTAAGGATAAGTATGTTATGATTATAAGGATTAGTGTGTTATATTTAGGGTAAGGATTAGTATGTTATATTTAGGCTAAGGATTAGTTCAAAAATAGAAAATGAAAAATGAATATATTGAAGATTTTAGTGAAATACTTTTGTGAGAAGTTGTGAGTGTTTGAAGTTTTGACAAAATGTAGCATAGATTGGTTATTATCGGAGCAACGGTACTTGAAATCAAGACTTAAAAGTCTCAGTTATCTATATTATAGTTAAAATCTAGTCTAAATGGCCGTAGTGTTCTAATCTACTTAAAATCCAAGCCAGATGGGCTTGTCATGTGAGTAAATGTCTAATAAATAATTTATGGAATATTTGAAGCAATAGAAAGACCAGCAATAAGCAGGTGTAGCTCCTACATAATGCTTCTTGTAGAATTTTATAATGGGTAGAGGTCATTAGCTGTCTTTTGTCTGTAAAACAGTGTCATTCCAAATCGGTATGATTGTAAGATTAATTTACCAGTCTTTACTTTCAGTTGTTGCTTTAAGACATATTGAAAGGCAGAGCTTACGAGAGAAAGAAAGACTTAATGAACAAATTACATTAAGTGATAGTCACTATAATAAACAGATAGAGAGATTACAGCAACAATTAAAATCAATTGAAAAGGAGAGGAACATGATGATGGTAGGTAATGCTGGGGATGTATATTATATCAGAAACTAAACTTGATTATAGAGCATTATTTTCACTGGTTTCATTTAGATAGATCTATATTTAGAAACACACTATGACTGTTATATGGTGACTCAAGACACCAGTTTTTTCCTTTCCTAGTACAAGGGATGAAAAATATAGGTGTTTCTTTCAAATAAGATTATAGATAAATGTTAAAGGTAGCCAGTATGAAACCTCTTTGTGACTTTTTTACAATCTAGGCTTATCACCATTAGGGAGTGAGACAGCGTGAAACAGGGCAAGAAGTTGAGAACACAAAATTTCTTGCTCCCCAGACTTCTCTTTTCTTTTGTTCATGGACATTTTAATTAGATATCTTAATCTTCTTGCAGACTTGCACCCCCACCTTCTAATTCACACCCTAGACGACTCACTCCCTTGCTTTTGAAAATCGAAAAGATTGCAAGAAGTTGAGAAATAATCAAATTTCTAAAGCAAGGGAGTGAAAAATCCAAGGATTTTGATTATTGATCACAAACCGATTCTCAATGCGATTTAAGATTAAATCATGACCTTAACATTGTTGTGTACAATTTATTTCCTGTTATTGTTATTATATGGTTATGGTCGATATCGAATTGCCAAGAATATAAAAGTCATCCACAATATGTGCTGTTATGTTTTTTAGGCAACATTGCGTCAAGAAGGTCTAATGAGTAAAGTCAAACAAGATCGAGGGGAACCAATTATATTTGTAGAAACTAATAAACAAACAGAGGAACCTACGAAATCTCAGGAAAAAGAAGATGAGGTAACTGAAGAAACTGTCCAACCAAAGTCAAATACAGGTACAGTAAATTGAAATAATACTTGTTCAATTTGTTGAGCACTGACATGGCTCTTGTTTGGACCAATTTTTAGAGGTATTCATTTGACCAGTTTGCAAGGGAGATCGCATCAGTGAACTTTGACTGAATGATGTTCTCTGCTGCTCTATAGATGAATCTCATAAAGCTGGAGTAAACAGATCATATCATTGGCTAATCTCATATATCACAGAGAATGCTGTAAGAAATGAAATCTGATTTGTGTTTTGGTCAGATTATATTGAAGTTCATTCTCATATCAGTTCTAGTCAAATGAAGGAAAAAAGATTTAATGTTGTAAACACAAAACTTTAATGAATTAATTTATTTTCTTTTTATGAAATTTTCCAAAGTCAGCGAATTCGGATGGGGCAAAATACAGAGATCCAGAGTACACATTTGCGTGCACGTAAAAAAATTTGATATTGTAAACAATTTGTATGAATAAGTAGGGATTGAAATCAGGAGATTTTTAGGATTGATTATGAATAAAGAATCACATTATGACATTTTATGCCTGCTTATTAGAAGATTATTTTAATCAAAGTTCTTTGTTGGCTGAAAGTTTGAATAAGGGAGCCATGGTGGCTCAGTGAGGAAGCAGCTGGCTCACTAACCAGGAGATCTAGTCTATGGATCAATCAGGTGTTGGTCGTGAAAATTACTCAGGATTTTCAAGCATGTTTCCCCCTTGTCAGTTGTGCAGGATAGAGGACCTGGCAAGGAACAGTCTCAAGTCATTTGTATGTGACAAAAAAAAAATGGCCCTGTGTACACATTGGCTTGCATGTAACAGAACCCTCTACATTTAGAATTTGAAATAGGAGTTGATGTCCAGGCAAATTTTCCCCTGCCCATGTTTATTAGGCCATTTCATTTCATTTCATTTGTTATTTATTGAACAAGAATCAACTTTAGAAACAATGCATATGGAAAAGAAATGAATTAATACAACCATCCTATGATGGTTGAACAGGGTTTAATAAAAAAAACATACATTGGGGTTTGCACACATGTTATAAATTCAATTTAAATATATATCGTATTGTGTTTTGTTTTACAGAAGCTATGAGTGATGTTATAGAAGATTTGAAATCTCTTGCAGCAGTAATTGTTGATGATAATAATAGTGATTCTGATGACAGCATGTCTTGATATTAATCAAGTTACGAACCTGTAACTACCGATACTAGCATTTTAGATACATGGTTGCTATGGACACCAGTTACTGTCAATAGATATGAAAAGTTATATTTAGAACTGGAAGGTTATTGTATACCAGTCAATATGGATAAGTTAAAAAAGTGTTCATAGTATTGACAACAGTATCTATGGATAAACAAAAATGTAACGATGGATAACATCTGTCTTAGTGTTATGTCGACTTTTACTGTGTTTGAACTATGGAAGACTTATTATTTATTATACATGTAAGAAGGTTTGAATGAGATAACATGGCTGAAGAATTTGTACAAAATGTAAACCAAATTTCTGTTGTAAAAACTACAAACTTACTGTGATTTGTATATTAATTAAGTGCTACACATGTATTAAATAATCCAAATGACTTTTGTTTAAATTTTTAAAAATGATATTTAGTCTATCCAACTGTTATCTGGTAGAGGTAAGACATTGCAAAAATATAGTTTATATGTAGTAATATCTATCAAGGGAGGTAAGAACATCATACATGTACATGTAGTTCACGAGGCAGAGCATGGTTGTAGTAAACTGAACTGTAGTGAGCATGACTCTCCCATTCAAAATACATTCTGTTTTTTAGAAATGAATTTTTAATGTGCCCACCATTAAAAGCCATATTTTAGGGTGGGGGTGGTCGAATGGTTTAACCTGTGCATGTTAGATTATAAGATCTGTCCTTGCTCAAGTGGCGAGGTTTTGATTCTCCCCTTGTACGTGACAAGGAGTAGGGTTGCCTGTCTAACCTAGTGGGTTTTCTGTCTGGTTTCTTCCCATAACTAAAAAAATACCCATTATTGAAATAAAATTGAACCCATATGCGAGTCCCGAAATGACCTACTTTGTAAACCACATTTCTCTCTTAAGCCATATTTATCTTTGATGTCAATCAAAATACAATGGTTATATCTTATATCCAAAATCGTTGAATCTAAACTGTGTTGTTTATCTCCTAAACATAAAACATTGTCTACAAAACTAAAAGTAATCAAATGATAACTTTAGCACCACATGATAACTTTAGCCTTCCACAAACAATTACAGAGACAGACAGATTTAGCATTTCATGTGTTTAGCTTAAGATAGAGTTTGTTGAATTGATCTAATTCTGAGTCTGTTCAATACACATACTATTCAATGTACACTAAATATGTACCAGCATTTAAAAAATAAAGTATGTACCAGCATTTAAAAAATAAAAACAAAAGAAGTAGTAGAAATAGTCCTAAACATTTTAAAGAAAGAATCCGGTTTGTTCTTTAGGTTAAGGCAATATACAATATAATCTCATAACTGAAAAAAAGTTTTCCAAGTTTTAATGAGGCTGCAATATGATGAAATAAAACCAAATAACAGTATTTAAATATTTATTATTATATCCTTGTCATGGCTTTATTAATAGATATGACATACAATTGTTATGTTTTACAATGTACATCTATTATGATATTAGAGAAGCTAAAAATAATAAACATTCTTACACACATGTAGCCATACACCTGTTTATTCAGAAAACTCATCAAGCATTCAGTAATTCACCATACATTTCATTTATTTCAAATGAAGAGCACATACCTTATGTACAGGTATGGAATATATTGTCTTAGAATTTGTCTAAGATGTAAATATTATATAGTCTATACCATAAAGTAAAAAATTAAATAAAGTGGTTTAATATGTAATTGCATGTATTTGGAAAATCCCTAAACAATGACAAATTTCCAATGTATTAAGATACATGATACACGTAACCTAGAGAAGTATTGATACATGTTGTAACCTTTTGAGAGGTGATGCCACAATTTCATGGAAATAATACCATCTGCTTATTATTAGATGTACTAATATTAAAATGACATTATGGAAACTTGATAAAAGAACTGACAGTTCTCGCTATAATAGTTAAAAAATAGATAATGTAAAGTGCATATGCTGAAAATTTCAGTCAAATTACTTAACTCTGATCCAAGAAATCCTCATTTTAATAACACTGTAGTCTTGATTATCTATTTTTACGGTTAATCATCAATGGCCTTTGAACTGCAGATCCGATTCAAATCTGTTGAAAATCGGAACCATCAGATGGCATTGAGAGTTGATTATGGTCTTGTCATGTTAATAAATGTCTAATTAATAGTTTATATAACATTTAAGGCCTAAAGGAAGACCTGCAATAACACCCATTGGAGGCATAGTGCTAGAAAGATATATTGTTGAATCGATGATCTCATCGATGGATTGCGATTTTTTTTATGTTTTGGGGGTTTTTTTTGTCGCTGCAGCAAGTAACCAGTCACTCTTAATTATCCACGTCACACATTATCCATAGGTGCACAAACACTCTTAATTTGTTTTAGTCATTATTACAATTATTTCTTTGACATCGGCAGGACTATCAATATCAATTATTCATATTTCTTGGTAAACATTGACCTGGTTATGAATTGTATCATAGTACCTGAATCGCAACAGTACATTGTATCACATCGTGACTGCCTTGGCAATATCCAGCACTAATTTGGTGCACACAAGACAAAAATATGAGTGTATCCCTAAAAGACAGCTAGCTGCCTCCTTGAGTGACATAAGGAGCACTTCTTTTGTGTTGATAAAAACATTGAGATAATTAAAACATCCAGTAGACTCTGGGATTAAAAAGAAGTTGGCAGAGGACATTCCTTGAATTTACTTCGATATTTCGATATTTATGGTAAATTGACAGTGACTAACGACAAATACAAGTGGTAAACGAATTCTTCCTCAAACAAGTCATGTGACAAACAAAATAGACTCTTGCTACACAGGGTAGTTTTTTGGGGTATTTTGTTTGTTTCTAGGTGGGGGGGGGGGATTTGAAGCATACTTTTGATAGATAAATTAATTTTAATATGTTTTTAGTCTAAATATATATATTCAAATCTGGCAGTTTGTACGTGGGATGGCATCTTTACTTTAAGGTACATGTATTACAGTTATTTATCTTGTAGAGCTTTAATTTTCTTTGGTATGGAAGCAAAGTTTCTAGTGTAGAAAAGTTCTGCTTTTTCAATTTGAAATCAATATGTATTTAATTATCTACATCATTGCCATTCGTTTACAGTTTACATACATCCATGCTAAATACTTTCATTCAAATGCATAATAATTAGGAACTAACAAAATAAACATTATAACAAAATTTTTTGTGATGTAAATGCACAACTTATAACATGATATTTAATTTAGGTATAAAATTTTAAATTTTCAAAAGTCTAGGTATATACATTCATGACTTTCTGAATTCTTTGTCGACATAAAGGACAAACCCTTCTTTCCACTTGCCGAGCACGAACAATCTGATCAGCACAGCCAACACACAAACACATATGTCTACATGGAAGAATTAATACAGATTTTGATTGGTCCTGACAAACCACACATTTCCTCTTGTCCTTCTCTTTCTCAATTTCGCGTTCAAATTCTTCTGGGGATATGTTTTTTGGTCGACTCGGTGTCATTGATCTATTTCTCACTCCATACCGATCTGACACTGTTGGAAGTTCAACCTCAATTTCATCCTCTTCTTCATCCGATGAAGAAAAGGTTTGAGAATTTAAAGATACCTCACTGTCATCATCATCATTATCGTCAATAGTGTGTTCGGACATGTCATCACTGTCATTGGCTTCTGTGCCATCCTGATATTCACTACTGTCACTGACAACACTTTCGTTTTGTTCATTGTCGGACCAATCTTCATCATCACTGTCCAAAATTGTTGTTTGTTGGCGACGCCTTTGTCTTGTAAACAATGTCATTCCATTATCTGTTAGATAAATAACGACTTTAATGACAGCCAGATAAAGTAAACCACATATTAAAATTCCCAGGTATGTTTCCTTTCCTAAACTTGGCAGATATGATGTATAGAAATATATAATATTATGAAACATGTTTTTAATGGAGTTTTCTAATGCTGATAAACTGTTACAGATACCATGGTATATCGACATTACACAATAAGAAATTCCTTCATTAATCTGTGAGTAGCCTGAAAGAACTAAATTACCAATAGAATTAAAAGAACTCATAATTCCACAAAATAGGTCTGTTATCATGTCTGTTGCATAGTTCCATGTCGATCCACAATAGTCAGAAATATCGACTGCTGATTGTTTGAGTGTCTTTACTGTGACATAACTACCAGTCCACAACACTACTGCCAAGGTTTCCAGGCCAGACAAAATAAAGCAAATCACTTTGTATATAAGAACAAGAATTCTCCACAGTAATACACACAATGCGCAGACACATCCAAATACTTCGTTGAAAAATTCTCCTGCATATTGTAGCACTGCTGTAACAATGTTGCTGATGATTTGGATGACAGAACAAATAGTAAGAACAATCAAGGATACATAATAATAGACTGCTGACACAACCTCGTAATTTATCCGAAATACATAGTTTACAGTTTCATTAGTTGTTCGTATTGCCTTAGCAACACCCGAACAGACGGCAAAAAAGCCGTCCGAAATCAACGTCAAAACAGACATAATTTGTAACTCTCCACTAGCGTCTGAAATCAACATTGGCATTTATATCAAAATGTTACCCATTCCGTGATTTCTGGTGAAGGTCTATGCATAATCTAATAGCAGCTGCAGTTGTCTGCGGCAGCACAGGTGAAACCTTGTAAGTATTAAGTGGATAAAGCAACGTATCAATAGGCATTCGTTAGAAACTTTTATGAAGTGACGCCATCTTGATAATAAACTTCCGGTGACGTAGGATTTGTATCGTCACGCAGAACGGGCACCCGCTTTCGGATTCCCCATGTTACTATTTTAAGTAAAAAATGTTCAACCGCCGAAGATAATCGGCATTTGAAATTTAACAGAGTAAATTTGTCAAGACATTCTGAAACGCTTAATGGCATATGTTGTATACATTTCTCATTTATTTTTATCAAAGTTTATATTGAAATAATCAATTCTTTTACAGAAAACTGGAGCTTTGCATTGGGACTATTTTCTTCTTTTGAGTAGTAATTTCTGAAACTAACTTCCGCAAGTTCCTTTTTACATTTTGGTTGTGGCAAGGTACAAGCACGTGTTGTGTTTTCAATCTAATAAACAAAATTTGTCTCCCCAAAATAACAGATAACTCAATAAATGCGTTACATTATCGTTGGTCTATGTTTTATATTGTTTATCTAACAATTTCGAGTAGCAGACTGAACTTCCGAGGCCAAAATGTTATATTTTTCAAGTTTTAGTAAAGCGAAGGCTCCATCCGACGGTAGCACTGTGAATTTACCCAAATCTACCTAAATCCACCATTATTTCAACTTAAAGATAATAATTTGTATCGATAATTGATAATATACCGTTCTTTGTGCCAGATTGTCATTTCTAATTTACAATCATAACGTTTTTGTGTCAATCCCAATTGCCAAATGCGATTCCCTAGTAGGTCGGAAGTTGTAACCAAATTCACCATTATTTTAACTCATAATTGCAATGATTTATATCAATCTTTGATGATAAACCGTACTCTATGCTAAATTGTCGTGTTTAAGTAAAAATCGTAGCGTTTTGTGTCAAATATGCCCCTCAAAATGCTATTTCAAAGCAAATTTGGAAGGTGTAACCAAGGGACATAACTCGTGTATTGCACGAAATTACTTGCCTAGATAGTAGATTCGATGGAAATTGCATTTTAGGGGAATTTTTGAAACAAAAACGTTACGATTTTTGAATTAACAGTATATATTGACTTGAAACAAATTTGGTGGATATGGGGAAATCCAGCTACTGCTGTGCTACCCTCCAATGTCCAATGCTCCATCCAATCCATGAAATTGATGTCACATGTCTTTTTACTATCACTGTCAGACACTTTTTGACTATACATGTATATTAAAGGTCAAAGGCTATACTTAATATCGCTTTAAACAAGGAAATAAATATTAAACATACATTATGAAAGAGCTAAATCTAGCCTATTGCAGGTCTTCCTTTAGGCCTTAAATGTTATATAAACCATTGATTAGACATTTATTAACATGACAAGACCATAATCAACTTCCAACTTCGTGGGTTTTCTCCGGGTCCTCCGGTTTTCTCCCACTGCTAAAGACCCCTATGCGCAAGCGAATAACGTCGAGTGGACGTTAAACCCCATTTCTCTCTCTCCATAATCAACTATTGATGACATGTGATGGGTCCGATTTTCAACAGATTTGAATCAATATGCGGTTCAATGGCTGTTGATGATTAACTGTAAAAATGGATAATTGAGACTGTTTATTATCCTAACAGTAACAATGACAATGACAATCGAGGCTACAGTGTTATTGAAACGACGACTTCCCTGCTCAGAGTGAAGTAATATGACTGAAATTTTCAGCATATTCGTTTTACAGTATTTTTTTTTTTTAACTATTATAACGAGAACTGTCAACTCTTTTACAAATCTCCCATAGAGCTACTTTCATTTTGTATAATATTCAGAAGTCTTTTTAAAACCATTTTGATCAAGCCTTTGCATTGATCCAGTTATTCAAATAGTTGCCTACTTATTTTCATTATTTTGCTTTATGTTGTGTAGAACTAGAAGTGATGTTGTGATAAAATAATATTATTGCTTTATAAGATAAATATGCGAGTAATTTTTATATGCCCACATTGAAATGTGGTCGTATATTGTCGTCGCCCCCAGCCGTCCGTCCATCGGTCCGGCGTCCACAATTGCTTGTGGACGCTCTAGAGGCCAAAGTTAATATCCGATTGACCTTAAATTTATACAAAGTGTTTAAGGTCTTGAGACGAAGAAGTCATTGAATTTCAGCGATTTCCGATAATTACTGCCAGAGTTATGGCCCTTGATCACTTCAAAAAATCTTGTGGACGCTCTAGAGGCCAAAGTTAATATCCGATTGACCTTAAATTTATACACAGTGTTTAAGGCCATCAGACGAAGAAGCCTATTGATTTTCAGCGATTTCCGATAATTACTGCCAGAGTTAAGGCCCTTCATCACTTCAAAAAATCTTGTGGATGCTCTAGAGGCTAAAGTTAATATCCGATTGACTTTAAATTTATACATAGTGTTTGGGTTTTTGAGACAAAGAATTCTATTGATTTTCAGCGATTTCTGATAATTACTGCCAGAGTTATGGCCCTTGATCACTTTAAGGTCATGAGACGAAGAAGCCTATTGGTTTTCAGTGATTTCCGATAATTACTGCCAGAGTTATGGCCCTTGATTGTCAACGATTTCCGCTGTAAAGGCTAAAGTTATCATCCGATTGACTTCAGATTGATACACAGAGTTTAAGATCTTGAGACGAACAAGTATACTGATTTTCAATGAATTTTTGTGACATGAACAAATCCATGATATTAAAAGTTTTGTATACAAAACGTTAGCATGGGGCAGAACTTTATAAAAAAGAAACAAATTCTAATGGTTTTCTGATAATTACTTCATGAGTTCTTGTTCTTAATCAGATTTTAGTGTATTATAAATATTTATTACTTAAAAAAGTAAGAATATGCGACAACTCTTGTTGACTGCCCGGACGATTAAGCTGCTGTGGGTGTATGTTTCGTTGCCTGGCAACCTATCTTTACTTATCTTGGGATTGAGGAGGAGGAGGACATCATCAGTCCCACTTTTGGCTTGTTTAGTTGTTTAGATTCAATTTTAGTCTTTAACACCTAAAGTAGTGCTGGGTATTGCCACTGCAGTCACATTTCCATACGTATTCCAATTCTGGTACTACGTTGTGATTCGTATCACGATTCATAACCAGGTCAATATTTACCCAGAAAACGGGATAAATGAATAATTGATATTTTTAACCGCTGGTGGCGAAGAAATAAAATTGTTTTATATGACAATATTGATGTGGATCCCAAAAAAATGGACCAAAACAATTTATAAGTGTTTGTTTGCCTAGGAAAATCTTTAACATGGATAATTAAGAGTGAGAGGTTACTTACTGAAGCAACAAAAAAAAGCATTTCGATACATAAATTCAGCTTTTCACGATCCAATATGCGAATCGTGAGGTGAATTGTGACACATCGATCCAGCACTAAACTAAAGGCAAACAAAAAGTTTTTATGTTTCATCTTTACTTACAGATAATATCCAAGATGTCGGCTGCATTTAATTGGATGATTGTTAGAAATAACTCCAGTTTTTTGATGAAACGTGGAGCTCATCAATTCAGCCGGGTAAAAATTATTTACATTTCTCAAACAGAATATTTGTTTATTTTAGATTTTATTTGATGTTCCTAACAGATGCATCACTGTGTCCAACCTTTTCTATTATCTGTCTGAAATATCTCCAACATCAGACCAAGGATGATTATTTTCAGTAAGTTGGAAGGTGATAATACTGTCCATCCTAGATGTGTTCATCCTTGACAGTAGAATGTAGTTTAGTTATAGATGGATGTTACTAAATTTTTGATCTTATGTTTATTAGGAAGCCACTAACATGAAAGGAGTGAACTCATTCCGATTTAATGGATTAATCCGAGATAGAAGTGTTGCCATTCAACCCGCAAAGACCGGAAAAGGTGTTGTAGTATCCACAAAACATTATAAAGGTAAACTTTTTGAACAAAATATATTTTTATACACCCACAATTTCATGTGGATGTATATTGTCGTCGCCCCTGTTTGTTTGTGGACACTATACAGGTCACAATTTTTATCCAATTTCAACGAAACTTGAAATATAGCTTTATCTCCCTAAGATCTCGGTTTCTTTCGATATTGACATGTATTGGAACATAACTTCATGGATTATGGCCCCTGATTGTACGAAAAGTCACGTTTTTAGCTTGTTGACCCTCTGGAGGTCACTATTTTGTGCCGATTTTGATGAAACTTGAAATGCATGTTTATAACCAAAGATCTTGGGGTTTTTTGATATTTGTGCATATTGGATCGAAACTTCATGAATTATGGCCCCTGATTGTACGAAAAATCGCATTTTAAAGGCCCTGTCCCACTGCACTTTCGGATGCAAAGAGGATGTAAAACGGGGGGAAAAAACGTGCCCTCCGTTTGAAAACACCATGCATGCCTGTACTCATTGCATACGTGTTTCATACGCTCTATCCATCGGGCATCCGTTCAATTTGATTTCATCCGCGCAAAAAGTTTTGAGCTGCACAAAACTTTTATAACGGATGAACTTTCTGCCGTGTACGATGTAAATGCGCATCATATACAAGCACTAAACGTTCCATGTCCGTTATCATTCGTATCCTCTCTGCATCCTCTGGGCATCTTCGCAACTCACATCCGCTCCAGCTGAAAACGGAAAGAGGGAGGAAAGATAAGGTACATGGAATGTCTATACATCGTTAGTAGGACGACGGAAATAGAAAGGATGTAAGCGTATGCATCTCGTATATAAAGTTTTCAAAACGGACAAAGCATTTGTATCTGGCATGTATCTGGTATATTGAAGGATGTCCGGAGTTTGCCTAACCCCTTCGGAGCTGTCATTCACTTCCATCCGCTTTCATCCGCTAGGCTTCCGATGAACATCCATTTAACATCCCCGCTACATACTTCCCACGTTCGTTCTTTTCTGTTCTGTTTTCGCAAATTTTCGTCAATTTTGTCCATTTCTGGAGCGGATGAAAACAGATGGAGCCACCCCCGAAAGTTTGCTCGTCTGCTGTGTCCTTTTTGCATAAGCTTTGTGTCCATCGGCCACTGGGATCGGGCCTTTAGCTTGTGGACACTGTAGCGGTTACAATTTTGATCAAACTTGAAATGCATGTTTATAACCAAAGATCTTGGTTCCTTTCGATATACGCGCATATCGGATCGTAACTTCCTGGATTATAGTCACTGATTGGTTGAAAAATCACCTTTTTTAGCTTGTGGATTCTCTAGAGGTCACAATTTTTTTTTCGATTTTAAAAACCGTTTAGCTCACTATTCCACCATAATGAAGGTTGAATTGGAATTTTGGGAAAATCGAAATGAAACTGCCAACAAAATGGCCGCTCTTTGTATGCAAATTGTATATAAGTATGTAATTCAAAGGTTATGGACCCTCTAGAGGTCGCAATTTTTATCCAATTTTGATGGAACTCAAAACATATCTTTATATTCCAAATATCTCAGTCCCTTTTGATATTTGTGCATTCCAGACCATAACTTTCTGGATTATGACCCCTGATTGTACAAAAACTCATTTTTGTTTTTAGCTTGTTCTCTATCCATCTCTTGCAAAATGTGGGCGTATCCTGCCTGACAGCCGCTGGTTTGAATATCAAGTGGCTGCAATATGGTTCTGTCGTTTTGGCATTGGATCTGCAACTAGAATGTCTTGATATGGACTCCCCAAAAAACCTTAGGATTTTATTAGTCCATATCAAGTTTGTTAGGGTTATGCCTGCAACACATACACCAATCTACACTCTTTGATATGAATTCTAATAAAATTAAATATTCTTAGAAATCTTTCTTCTTGTTATTCCACTCTGGTTTCATCAGGAAGGTGGAAAAGCTTAAATATTCAAGTATAATCAGTTTGATTTACATACACTATCAGAACAGTGTTTTAACTGGAACTCAAAAAGCAAGGCTTTCATGTTTTATTTCTATCCTGGATTTTTAACTTAATGTTGTGGAAAGTATCTGCAATAAACATATCTCTATATAATAAAGTTGAACAAATGTGTTTTATTTCATAAGGTCAGAGACGTCCCAACAAGAGAAAGTTCAAAACAACAATCAACAAAGATGGTCGTCATACATTAAAAGCTGTTGGTAATATTCTTAGAAGTGGCAGATTTGAAGGCAATACTCACATGGTAAGAAGTTCAGTTTACTTAGTTTCCTTCATAACTAAGTGAAATTAATTTGGGTCCCTAATTTCTCAAGTGTGTCGAAGACATTGTGTTTAACTAGAAAAGAGACGTGTTAACAGTTTTCCAGGTACATGTGGATGGCCGAATGGTTAGCACGTGTGCGCTGTATCATAAAGTCTGTCATTGAGTCAACTGGCGTGGTTTCGATTCCCCAGTTGTATTTGGCAATGAGTAGGGTCGCCTGTCTTACCTCGTGGGTTTTCTCCGGGTCCTCCGGTTTCCTCCCACTGCTAAAGACCCCTACGCGCAAGCAAATTATGGAAATAAAATTGAACCATATGTTAGTCCCGAAATGACCTAGTTTGTGTGAGTGGAGGTTAAACCCCATTTCTCTCTCTCTTTCTCATTTTGACCCAGTTCTACTGAAAGTTTATTAGAATGATGGGAATTTGGGAAGGACAATCAATATAAAAATAGTATAGCCATAGCGAATTGGTCTCTGTGATACTTAAAGAAAGCAATAATAGCCTTTCAGCTTGTAAATATTTATATTTAATATAATTAATACTATAGACCAATAGATACAAAATGATAAATTAGTGTAATAGTACATGGATTTTACAATAATACCGGTAGTACTGAGTTCGTAACTCTCATTATGAACACCATGCTTCATCTCGGCTTGGCAAGACCAGCAAACACCCAGCTTTACACTGTGTATTTTTATTGTTTATATTCTAATTCATTCTAACTTTTATTTTTTAGGCCTCACTACGAAAGGCATCTGCTATTTTGAGAAGTCAAAAGCCTGTGGTTGTTAGACAGAGAACCAGAGCAAAGAAAAACTAGAACTTTAAATAAAATGAAAATTACTGAAAATACAGTTGAGGATTTGTTATTTGTTTTTCCATAGAATCAAGAAACCCACCATTAAATCGGGTTGTACATGTATTAGATAAGTACATGTAGCGTAGCCTATTTAACATCAGTAGGGGCATCTCTGGCTGCTTAACGGAGCTAAAATATATTTGATAAAGGTCAAAATAAAGCATTGAATTGGGTTGATCTGATATTTTATTTCGATTGGTTTCAAAAGATTAAGCTAGGTTACAGACTTTCTAGATTGTTACCAATTGTCAGTGTAATATCTGACATGGAAAGGCTTTGAGTGGTTTGAATAAGACAGACGTTTGGAAATCGAAAAAAGAGGAGCCCAAGGGCTTTCTGTCTGGGTACATGTATATCTTTCTCATGGCCTACTCAACTGCATCATGTATATGCCCGTCATTTGCCTGGATTAAATGTTTTCTTTTATTGAGAATTGAACTTGACCCAGTACAGTAGATTGACATTGGGCAAGGCTTCAGTATAAACAAATCTAGCACATTATGTATATGCTTGGAGGTTAGTGGGTAGGATACAAGACCAATCTATTTCATGTAATATCATTTTGGGGAATACCCTAATTCAGTGTTCTGGATAAATAAGATACCAAAAACTACCGGTGGAAGGCGAACTCTGACACCAAGGAGAATATAATAAACAAAATAACTGGTACATATCCATGTGGTTTACTTTCTCCAAAGTGTACAAATATAAAAGAATTTAAATAAAACATAAAATTGCTGAGGATACAAAAAGAATGATTAGATTTGATAATACTGAATTTATAAAGTTAAAAATGTATGTCCTGTATCACATTCATAAACTTAAATGGGAGGATTCCTCCTTATTAACAAGCAATATTATTAGCACATTTTTAAAACATCCATTGAGAAATTTGTTATGCATCGCTTCACAATCTTGAGATGTGCACAGAAAGAGAAGTGTTTAAAATTCATGTTCAGAAAATTATAAAGTTTCTTAATATTTTGAGAGGTACGGTGGCTGATAAGGGACATGAAAAATAATACAATTTGTTTTTTTTTAATATTCACCCAAGTCAATTTTAATATAATTTGGTTTTTTATAATTTTCACCCAAGTCAATTTTAATATAATTTGTTTTGTATAATTTTCACCCAAGTCAATTTTAATATAATTTGTTTTTTTTATAATTTTCACCCAAGTCAATTTTAATTTCCACCCAAGTCATTTGTAATTTAATTTGTTTTTTATAATTTCCACCCAAGTCAATTTTAATTTTCACCCAAGTCATTTGTAATATAATTTCAATTCTGTTGAATTTTCACCCAGCGCAAGATGTCATCTCAATTAGCCTCGTTTCCAAAACACTAATTTTCGCGACCATTGGGAAAATAAACGTGCTGGGGTCGACACAATCTTAGTAGGGATCTGACAGTGATATGTATTGAAATAAAAAAAAATGGGGGTTTAACGTCCTACTCGGACTGGGTTACTGAATACAGTATGCCAGAAGGGAAATTTTCCTCTGTCAGCGGCACGACGTGAAATTTCAACTGTCAAGAGTTATTTTACATGCTCGCCAATGTACTAGAGGCCTGGATATTGATATAAGCACCCATCATAGACAACGCTACCGAACATCCAGACATAGAATTTAGCGTAGGTTGTTGGAAAGAGATAACAAAAAAAAAGCTTGGCCTATGTGCACTAATGAATGATGGGTCACACGCATGGATCTTGAAATTACTACTGGAAACAAACACAGATAGCTTTGCCATGAAGTCAAAGGGCCTCTTTTCTTACAGGACACTGAGGGTCTCTTTAGAGTCTTTCCTTGGACTTGGGGCACTTCAACTGGATTTGGTGTTTCCTTTCAGTTTAATTTTTGGATATTTTCAAAAAAAAAGATTATTACACTTTCCAATATAGGCCTATTTATGTAGCAAATCTCCACAGGGAGGTTCTCGCAAGATACTTGAATCGATATTTTGGTGCATAATATCCACTCAACACAAATTAGGTCATTTCAGGACTATAACTCATTCATTTCAATAGTCAGTTTGTGTGTAGTGGTCTTTAGTAATGGAAGAGTACTGGACAAACAACCCTACTCCTTGCCACGTACGAGCGGGAAATCGAAACCACGCCACTTGAATTATGATGCAATGCACACACGTTCACTACTCTCGCGCCCCCCCCCCTTTTCAATTCTGTACATTTAATGAAAGTCAAGATTTCTTTCCTTTGATTTAGAGATCTGGTGATAATTTCAGTCCATAAAGTATAAATCAAATGTAATTACAGGCTTCATTTCTGGCTCTGATATGCTGACAGGCCTGCTTGTGTTCACCTAAAAAGTCATCATGTTATAATATCAAAATTCTTTATTACACTAATAATGGCTTTTCTGGTGACATATATAATTTAAACAAGAACTGATAATAAAAGTGTGAGAAAAAAAATATTTGATACAAGGTAAATCATAATCTATTACAATCTGATACATGTAATTACAGAATGAAAAAAATATCTCTTAAATATAAGGTAAAACATAATACATTGCAATCTGCTTATTACAGTATGAGAACCAGCGGTTGCCAGGCAAGATACGCCCATATTTTGAAAGAGGTGGATTGAGAACAAGCAATAAAAAAAGCTATTTTTCATACAATCAGGGGCCATAATCCATGAAGTTATGGTCTGAAATGCGCGAATATCGACATGGATTGAGATATTTGGGATATATATTTTAAGTTTCATCAAAGTTTGCGTCCAACCTCGTGAGGTTTCTCCCACTGCTAAAGACACCTATGCGCAAGCGAATTATTGAAATAAAATTAAATCATATGTTAGTCCCGAAATGACCTAGTTTGTGTCGAGTGGACGTTAAACCCCATTTCTCTCTCTCTCTCAAAGTTTGCGTACGAGGGGCGACCATTTTGTCAGGCAGTTTCAATCAGATTTTCAGAAAATTCTAATTCAATCATCATTAGGGCGTAACGGTGATATATTCAAACGTTTTTTCAAATCGGATACAAATTGTGACCTCTAGAGGGACCACAAGCTAAAAACGAGATTTTTCGTACAATCAAGGGTCGTAATTCAGAAAGCTAAAAATAAGTCACTTTTCGTACAATCAGGGGCCATAATTCATGAAGTTTCACTCCGATACATGCCAATATCGAAAGGAACCTAGATCTTTTGGAGATAAACCTATATTTCAAGTCTTGTCAAAATCGGATAAGAATTGTGACCTGTATAGTGTCCACAAACAAATTATGGATGGACGTCCCGACGGACAGGGGTGACGACAATATACGTCCATATGAAAATGTGGGCCTATAAAAATATCTATTTGATATAAGGTAAAACATAATACATTGCAATCTGCTAATTACAGTATGAGAACCATATAAGATAAAACATAATACATTATATTGGAAACGAGGCTTATTGAGATGAGGTTGGGTGGAAATTCAATAGAATTGAAATTATATTACAAATGACTTGGGTGAAAATTAAAATTGACTTGGGTGGAAATTATAAAAAAAAAAATTATATTAAAATTGACTTGGGTGGTAATTAAAATTGACTTGGGTGAAAATTATAAAAATCAAATTATATTAAAATTGACTTGGGTGAAAATTATAAAAAACAAATTATATTAAAATTGACTTGGGTGAAAATTATAAAAAACAAATTATATTAAAATTGACTTGGGTGAAAATTATAAAAAACAAATTATATTAAAATTGACTTGGGTGAAAATTATAAAAAACAAATTATATTAAAAGGTTGGGTGGAAATTCAATAGAATTGAAATTATATTACAAATGACTTGGGTGAAAATTAAAATTGACTTGGGTGAAAATTATATAAAAAACAAATTATATTATTTTTCATGTCCCTTATCAGCCACTGTAGGTAAAACATAATACATTGCAATCTGCTAATTACAGTATGAGAACTATATAAGATAAAACATAATACATTACATTGGAAACAAGGCTAATTGAGATGGCTAATTGAGATGACGACACGCGCTGGGTGGAAATTCAACAGAATTGAAATTATATTACAAATGACTTGGGTGAAAATTAAAATTGACTTGGGTGGAAATTATAAAAAACAAATTATATTTAAATTGACTTGCGTGGAAATTAAAATTGACTTGCGTGAAAATTATAAAAATCAAATTATATTAAAACTGACTTGGGTGAAAATTATAAAAAACAAGAGAGAGAGAGAGAGAAATGGGGTTTAACGTCCACTCGACACAAACTAGGTCATTTCGGGACTAACATATGGTTTTATTTTATTTACATAATTTGCTTGCGCGTAGGGGTCTTTAGCAGTGGGAGGAAACCGGAGGACCCGGAGAAAACCCACGAGGTTGGATATAAAAAACAAATTATATTAAAATTGACTTGGGTGAAAATTATAAAAAACAAATTATATTAAAATTGACTTGGGTGAAAATTATAAAAAACAAATTATATTAAAATTGACAATTAAAATTGATTTGGGTGAAAATTATAAAAAACAAATTATATTAAAATTGACTTGGGTGAAAATTATAAAAACAAATTATATTTAAATTGACTTGGGTGAAAATTAAAATTGACTTGGGTGAAAATTATAAAAAACAAATTATATTATTTTTCATGTCCCTTATCAGCCACCGTAGAGGAGCTAGGTCCTGTATCTGTTCACAAGAAATGGTTGATGACACTGGTCAGAGGTGGCAACGGCATATTAAATGTGTACATATAAAAGGAACAGTTCCTGAAACACAATTGAATTGTTGACAATAGCATTTATTTAGCTTGTCTTTAGAGATAAATCTGTTTAAATTCCTGAATCTTTTCAATGCAAATTGGACAGTTTTTTGTAGAAGCCATAATTTGCCGAACACAGCTAAAACATAAATGGGTGTGCCCACAGGGGAATGTTGCAACACATCTGTTTTCTTCCATGCAAATTGTACACAAGTTACTGTTTTCCTCATGGCCAGAGAAATCTGCCTCGGCATCGGTATCATCGCTTGAGCTTTCACTATTACGGTCAATATTATTAGTTTCTTGAGGTTCGGAAGGATTTTGATTAGGTCTACTGTCTAGATTTGGCTGAGCAATAAGTGACAAAAGATGCACTAATTCTTGGTTAAGTAATGGATTTAAATTGTTTCTTATTTCTTGCTGTCTTTTAAATTCACGTTTTAACCAATTTAAATCCTTGTAATACTGCAAACGGGATGTTTCACTGGTGGTATGTTCTGTGTTAATTGGAATGTCAGAATTATTAGTAATGTCATTTAAATTTGTATTTTCATTGTTCACAAATTGCACTTGTCTATTTCTATTAGTATTGTATTTGCTATCTAGATACAGAAAAACTAAACTTAAAGAGATAATCCAACTCAATACATAATTTAAAGAGTTTCCACATCCTAATATCAACTGGGTAAATACCTCTGTCAAAAAAGAGGCTATCATAAGTAGGCATCTGAAAATTTGTGGACTAATCATGAATAGGACTTCAAATGTAGTCACAAACACTTTGGCACAAAATGATAGAATTGTTAGACTAAAGTTTCTACAGATTTCAAACAAGATAATGACAATCTGTAAGCCAGACTTTAATATAAAATAAACTATTGGCGGAACCTCATATTCATAGAATTGTGTTGTAATTTTTATCAGAATGGAATATAAATTAAGATCTAAACCCATCGAAAGTCCCAATCCACTGACCAACAAAACTGCTGAAAATAGGAATAACCGCAGAGTTAGATTGAGAATAAGGGTTATCATTGTTTATTCTGTTGATCAATTCCTGAAATCCTAAAAAATATTTATCCTTTTCCACATAACTTAAATTCTTATCTGGAATCATTCATTACAGATTTTTGTTCCTGACTTGGCAATCACGGGTACCTTTTCTTTTACGAATTGGGATTTTTTGTTTCCTGGATGTCATTTTATGGCAGCTAGGCTGATTGAACCCATTCAATTCTGTCAGGTTAAAGATATTTTATTTCCTTTCTGAAAATAAAGAAATTAGAAATCCTGTTTTAATAATTATTATTAACACATATTATTAGGCCTAAAGACCCAAATCTGAATTCTTGCTGAGAGAAAATCTCATGACTCTCCATCGATCAAGTCCAAAACTCAATTGAATTATAGAAATGGCTACATGTAATAATGTAGGACTATGCGTGGTCGTGGTGTACGTTGCCTTTGGTTCATTTACCACGGCATAAATATAATATAATGAAATGAAATGAAATGAAATGGGGTTTAACGTCCTACTGTTCTGCTCCGAACTGGGCTAATGAAGACGGAATATAATAATAATATTAATAATAAAGGTCCATGCTATTTTTAGTCTGTGGTACCGTTACCCATTCCTGTTTACCAGTTCAATTAACAGTACCTATATGTTCAGCTTATGTGCCCACGTGTGTGTCTTTCAGAATATCGCCTAAACATAGCGCGTTTTTGATGTTTGAAATTTGAACTTGAAGAATGTCAACAAAAAAGCGTCACGAAATTCAAATTGAACAATTTCTCAATTTCTCAATTTCTGGAGAAAAAAAACTTGTTAAACAAGACTACTCTTTGTAAAAGTTTTATGAAGGGAGGCAACTGGTTTTAACGCTGCCGTGGTTTACGGTTTGAGACTAGTAATTCTCTCCCAATTGACTTCTAATAATACTTCTATGTTAATTCCATGATATTTATCGACCTGTAACATTGTTCTTAACATTCCGATGATTTTAATCTTTATGACCACAAAGAACCAGGCTTTAAGCCTAATTTTTCACCTTTGAAAATAAAGATATTATTATTATTATAACCCAGCATGTCGCAATCATCTCCGATAAAAAATACTGAACAGGTTTTGCCGTTTTCGATTTTTTGCAAAAAAAAAACAGGGGGAAAAGGAAGAAAGAATTAGAATGAATCTAAATAGAGGCACTATATCATGAGAAGATTGCAAGAAATTACTACCGTAGTCTTGATCCTTACCAACTCAAGACAGCCAAAATGAAAGATATATAGGCCTATGCTGGACTTTGTTTAGCCCCCAAAGTTACTTAAAAAAAAAAATTACTTGCATTACTCACTGTATTTCAGAATTTGGGCATATTTGATTCTGTAATAACCTGGTTAAAGTCATGTATTCACAGATTCCGTGTATTCACAGATTTCGAAAACAATTACAATGTAATAATTCCTGATTGTCAAGTTCACAAGTAGCATTGTGTGGCATATTCACTAATCAATTTGCAAGATCAGTTTCAGCTTCATCTTATAGCTTACTTATAACAAAGTCTATCACGCAATGGTTATATACTATTCAAAAAAAGTAGGGGATATTTGATTTTTAAGTGTTATTAAAGTCACCTAATGAAACTGACGAAGAAACAAATGACAAAATGAAATGAAGTTCACATTCATCGATTTATTCCAAATGATCGTTAGACTAAGTAAGGCACAGACTGACCATTATAAGGGTAAAATGATACCCGGGGTCAAACAGCAAAGTTACCACAGCATCACAACCAAGTCAGTAACGGGTAAATCCTCCTCTGTTTGCCAAACAAGCATTGATCCGACGTGGCATACTCCTAATGAGACGTCTAAGGTCATTTTGGTCCAGATTGTCGCATTCCTGTTGCAACGCAGCAGCAATTTCTTGGACATTGGCAGGACGTTGTTGACGTTGACGTAACCTCTGTCCAAGCATGTCCCAGACATGCTCGATGGGGGAGAGGTCGGGACTCAGTGCTGGCCAAGGTAATGTGGTGATGTTCTGTTGTTGGAGGTAACCTGTAACGATCCTGGCCCTGTGACATCTTGCGTTGTCATCCTGGAAGATGAAACGGCCGCCATGACGTCGTGCGAACGGCACAACATGGACTGCCAAGATGTTGTCCCGGTAGTACTGGCCTGTAACACGCCCTGCAACAACATGTAAAGCCGTTCTTCCAGCAACAGTGATGCCTCCCCACACCATAACAGAACCACCCCCAAATCGATCATGTCTGATGACGTTAACGTCTTGGAAGCGCTCGTTTCGACGACGCCACACCCTCCTACGTCTGTCCAAAAAATCAACAGTGAACCTTGACTCATCTGAAAACATCACATTGCTCCAGCGTCGATTATCCCAGTGTTGACGATCCCTACACCAACGACGTCTTGCCTGAATGTGATGATCTCTCAAACAAGGGATCACGCGAGGACGTCGGGCGCGAAGGTGACCCCTATGCAGTCGATTCCGAATCGTCTGGCCACTCACTCTCACACCAGTGTCTGTTTGAAGACGAGCGCTGATCTGATTTGCTGTGATGACACGATTTCTCAAGGCCAAGGTACGGATAAATCGATCCTGGGCCTGAGTTGTCGCCCTTGGTCGACCTGAGCGTGGTCTGTCCTGTACAGATTGTGTATCATGGTATCTGGACCATAGCCTGCTTATGACAGACTGAGAAACATTCATCGTCCGCGCCACAACCGCCTGTGTTGTGCCGATCTGTAGCATGCCAAGGGCATGGAACCTTTCATTTTGGGTAAGCCAACGCATATCAAAATTTGTTTTCTGGTCACTAAAACAATTAAACTGATGTTTCCACCCTGGAATTCAATGCCACAATGACTGTAACATTCAAAGTCAGAGTCGTGCAAATCTTGGGTTGGACCCCCATGATGATCCCAAGCATCACCTGCATTCCATGCAGTAGCTATTGGTGCGTTTGGGCGTCACATGTAACTGGAAATGTTTCTTCTGTTAGGTTCTATAGTGACTTTTTTCGTAGTCATTTGCATATTTTAGTATTATGCCCCCAAAATCAAATATCCCCTACTTTTTTTGAATAGTATATAAACTGATAGAAGACAACTAGCTAGATATTGTTTTGTATCATATTTAATAGGAAAAATATAACAATACACAAAGTACATATTTTTATATTGAATACACAAACAACTAATGAAATATATGTCATGTAAAAATTTGATGAACAATAATTTATATCTTATTAGATTTGGACTACGGTACATAATGAACTAATGAAATGTAATGCAAAAGATTTAATTGAATACCATCGTCTAATTAAATTTGAATATTCAAAAAAAGAACCTTTGAAATGTTTTACATGATTACAGACATAAAAGAAACATAACACTTTTTCTCTTCATATTAATTCACAACTTTGTCTTAAATTAGAAAAGCTAAAATTACATTAAAATTTTATACGTAGGCCTATGAGTAAAAATAATGTTTAAAATACATATTTACAATAGATTACAGAATGTTTAAAAAGTGAAAATTCACTTCTCTTCATTTCTCAAGGTTATCAACTAATAATATTCACTATAAAAAATGAGCACTTTAAAAAAAATAACATCAAAGTTATCTTGCATTGAAGAATCTGGAATTAAAATTCACAGCAAACAAAACCGAAAATCAAGTAAAAATATAAATGTGGTTGAAATTTTAAAACAGCTCTAAATATAAAGTAAATTGCATTAAGATTTTCCAAAATGGTTAAAAGAATGAAACAATTATTGGATGATATATTGGAAATCCAATCCAAGTTTACGATTGGGCAAAATTGTACTTTTTGACCAATCACCAGCCAGTATTCCAAAAATATCTGCATTTTAATGCTAGAGAAATTGAGAATTCACTGCTAAATTTATAATCTAGCCCCGGTTCTATATTGGTTTTCAATTAATAACATCATTTCGCGTAAACTCTTGAATAATTCTTTCTCTAATCCTTTTGTGCTGGTTTCTTCATCTGCCGTCCAAGCAGTCAGAAAAAATGTAATTCTGGAAAAGAAAAGATAATAAATTATGTAATGGCAATCTTTTATGTGTTCTACATAAATTACTGCACCAAGTTTACATAAATTGGTGAAACTGAACACTGAACATTGGGAATGAAATATGATTATTCATTTATTTCATTACTTTACTTGCTTTCCAGTGCAGAAGCTAAAAAATTGTAACCCACATATTGATATAATTTTTGTTCTGTACAACAGTAGGATGAAAATGATTATTGCATGCATTGATAGAATCATGGAGTAGCAAAGTATAAAATCATAAAGTCAAATATTATGCCTTGTATGTGTAATTTTCGACAGGTTCTCCAGTTTTCTCTCACTGTACCGGCGTACCCCCTCTCCCCCGCCTTGCCCCAACCACGTTGGTGAATGATTGATATAAAGATAGACTATATGTTAGTACCAAAACCACCTAGTTTGTTGAGTGGGTGCTAAACCTCAGCTATCTTGCTCTGCTTTCATTGAGGACTGAGGTACATACCAAAAGAATGTAACAACTTGGCTACCAAAGTGGATTGCCTTTTTTGAAATTTATGAGGAAGTATCGAAGCATATTTGTGCAATCAAAAGAAATTCAGTTTACTTACAATTTGTTTTCTATTGTATAAAATGCTCCATAACCGTTTGTACACATAGGTACCACGCCTCCATAAACAGGAGTATAACCAATAGAACTAGTTGATAATACATAATTACCACCTCCACCACTGGAAATTTAATATTCAAATATTGAAATAGAATTATAAACATAGAAGCTGACATTAATCTTTAACAAAGATAATAAATCAACAAGTTTTATCCAATAAAATATATCTTAGACAGCTCCTTTAAAGATACATTATTCAAGAGCTAAATCTGCCTATTGCAGGTCTTCCTTTAGACTTTATATAAGTTATTAATTAGACATTAATTATTAACATGACAGGACTATAATCAACTCTCGATGCCATTGGATATTCAAGATTTTTAATTTAAAAATGGGAAAGCATGAGAGGTCGCGTCAGGTTTTTGACCCTATGACGTCAGACGTGATTAACCAATCAGCGTTGATGTTTCTACTACGATAGCCACAGTTCCGTGCATCGCACATCCCTTACATCAATCAGAATGCGGGTTATATAACAACTCTTCCAGATCCTATTGTAGTAAAGACAAGTAAAACGAAATTTTGAACTCTAAAAAACGAAACGAAATAGGATCTATGTTTTATTCAGATTGCTTTATCCATGTAAATCTAGGAATTATTAATGAGCTGATATTGCTCGTAACAATCTGATTTAAACACAGATCCTATTTCTTTTCGTTTTTATAGTTCAAAATTTCATTTTACTTGTCTATACTACACTAGGATCTGGAAGAGTTGGTACCATTGACGTGTTCTGAATGATGTGAGGGATTAGCCAATGAAACAGTCTGTTACGGCGAGCTTTAGGCATGTTTTACACAGAACTGTGGGTAATCCACTAGTAACATCAATGCTGATTGGTTAGTCAAATGTTTGACATCTTAGGGTCAAAAGACGCTCATATGATCTCTGACGCGGCCTATAACTACAACCTATAGCTACAAACGGTCAGATCTTCATGTAGTGTAGGCCATCGAAAGTATAAAAAAACGAAACGAAATATAGATCTGTATTTTAATCAGATTGTGCTTGTAACTACTACTTTAGGAATATGCCATTTTATCAACTGTAAATATTATTTTTATCAATAACATAAATTCATAAAATTTCATTTCTTAAATACCTTTTGAGGAAAGAGGGATCGGAGAAGATCATAGGTATGGGTAATCCTTCTTCTCTACATATCATAGCCATACCCAATAAATGACGATCACATCCTAGAAAGAATTTATTTAGAATATTTGAATAGAAACATAAACCCCCATGAACTATTGAGATGGAAAGAGAGAGACCTGGTGTCATAGACTACTCCATATTTAGGTTATACAATTAAACTGTGATGTAAATATTTTCATTACTGAAATTGTTTTATATTTTTAGGATCAAAATATGCTGTATATGTTAAACAGTTTGTGCCAGATCAAGTGTGAGTATGGTGGAAATGCACAGAACAGGACCCCCCTTTTCACTGTTGATGCAAAAGCCTCAGTGTCATTTTCAGCCAGCTTAATCTGTCCCTGTATATTTTCACTACTGGAAATATCACAGTATTCATTCTAACCCTTTACTTGATAATAAAACCAAGATAAAAATAATAATTTGTCTAGAATCCACATCTTCCCAGACTCAGAAAATTCAACACATTATCTTGATAATAAAACCCAAGTATAAACATTGCTTTCCTTAATATACAACACTCAGTCAATAAAAACTGTCATTAGTCTTGAACCCATTGATGAAAAGATTATGATTGAAAAGTCTGATGATATTTTGTATGAATGTTTTGTATGAATAATTGATTATATTTCAGTAAAATATCATGATGTATAGTTGGTAATATATAGTCATGTATTGGTAATACTGATCATTAAGAAAGTCTATAATAACTTCCTTTCCACAGTGACGAAAATGTTTCCAAAGGCTTAGTTACTGTTGTGATAGTTATTTATTCCTCAAGATAGGTAATGATCAAGGTTGCTACATTGAGAATACTAAATTCTTCGTCCATCGTTTGATCTACTACATTGGTCTAGTCTAGGTGTGAGATAAACATGATATAATTAATAACAGATAGACAAACCTTGCAGCTGTGAAGCTTCTGACATCAAACGATTATGGTTATCAGCAGCTATTTTATACAACTGTAATTTTCTATTTTCCTAAAAAAAAAAAAAAACACCAAACAACTCTGACTTTATTAAATAAGGAATGTTTAAGCACGCATTAAAACATAATTCTTTCGATGGTACAGCCTACAAGTAAGTTATATTTATATACATCTTCAATCATGGCAAGATATGGCTAATACTTTCACTGCATTAGCTGACTTTCATATATTTGATAATGCAACTAAGGCACACCAATCAATCACAATGTTTATACCTGCTACCCTTACTGAGACATATGTATATTTATAGATCAGTGTACAGAAATGTCATTTGTATCTGATAGTTAACATGTTTTCAGGTGATAGTTGTAGCATCTTAAGAGTTAGAATGGCTTGGTTACAATCTTACAAAGCCCTTTTAAAAACTTCAAAAATAAGTATCAATAGTCGTCCTCCTGTTATTATAGCCAAGCAGTCAATACAAATTTCAAAAAGATTGGGCAATAATTATAGCCTCTAGAGTGTTAACAAGATTTGGTGTAATGGAAACAATATGAATTGAAATTGGGTTTAATGTCCAACTTTTCTGCACAGACTGGGCTAATGAAGTCGGGCATACGCTATGCGGTGTGCTGGGAGAAATTTTGATTTGTTGATAAAGGGGAATGACTACAAAAGTTAGCATTGGAAATCTTCCAATTATACAATAATGAAATATTTTTGAAAATCAATAACTAAACATAATTGAAAATCGCAAAAATCAATAGGATTCTTTCTTTTATATTGCTAGGCAACCTACACAATTTTTAAAAGACTGGATAATAATTGTGGCTAGGCTGACAGCAAGATATATTAAAATATGTTTGTATAAAAACCTAAGAATTTGACTTACTCTAATGCTGGGATCTAACATAGCTTTACACCAGGTAACAGCTTCAGGTGTACACGATCTCATAGTTTCTGTTCTACCATGATAAAATTGGCGGGTTGTAGCTGTCTCATATGTAGGAGCTGGTCTAAAATATACAATTCGTTGAAAGTAAATATGTGACAAACTGAAAACCCAGGTATCCATAATGTCAATACTAACAGAGCCTTCAGTTTATATTTACTGTAATAAGCTAACTGTAAAGCTAGATGTGATATTTACCGTTTATATTTTCTGTAATAAGCTAATTGTAAAGCTAGTTGTACATGTGTATCAGGGTGTAGTTTAAACTGACGTATTGATGATTTACCATAGTCCCTAAAATTTGTGGTTAAAACCTCAACTGTATCACACTAAAATATAAACAAAACAACAGATGTATTTAATTACAGTTCAATTTTATTTCAATAATTCACTTGTGCAAAGTTGTCTTTAGCAGTGGGAGGAAACCAGAGGGCCGGGAAGAAAACCTACAAGGTTAGATATAGTGTTTAATAAACACAGTTATGGTAAAGATTAAGACACTATTTTCCACCCTAAAAGGCTGATTTCTGCAGACATGCAAACACAACGTATAGTTTATTTACCCTTTTTTTAAATTCTGGTTTTGCTTCTTTAATGACATTTCTAACAACTAAATCCAGGTGAAATTCTAATTCTCTTGGTTGTTCTAGCTTTCTAATGGTCTTCGTTCCCTGTTAAAGATTAAAATCATATTAAAATGGATACAGAAAAAAAGCAAGCTAACAAGATATGGCTAAAAAGAAAATGCAAATCTTGAGAATAAATTTGTATCTTTCATCTAATTCTTCTACTTCAAAATTTCACAGGATATCATCCCATCATCTTACAGGACCAGGAATATTGATGTCACATTGGAGCGACTGGACACCATCGTCTACAGGACCAGGGATTTGAATGTCTCATTTGGAGTGACTGGGCACCATCACCTACAGGAGTAGGAATTTTGATGTCTATTTGGAGAGACCAGGCCCCATCATTTACAGCACCCCAAATTTTGATGTCTCATTGGAGCGACTGGGCACCGTCATCTACAGGACCAGGAATTTTAACTTATTTGAGTGACTGGGCACCATCCTTTAACTAAGACAAAACTAAGTCATAAAGATAGGTTGCCAGGCAAGGAAACATACGCCCACAACAGCTAAATCGTCCGGGCAGTCAACAAGAGTTGTTGCATATTTTTACTTTTTTCGGTAATGAAACATTTATAATACACTAAAATCTGATTAAGAGCAACAACTCATAAAGTAATTATCAGAAAACCATTAGAATTTGTTTGTTTTTATAAAGTTCTGCCCCATGCTAACGTTTTGAATACAAAACTTTTAATATCATGGATTTAGCTGTTCAAGACATAAAAATTCATTGAAAATCAATATACTTGTTCGTCTCAAGATCTTAAACTCTGTGTATCAATCTGAAGTCAATCGGATGATAACTTTAGCCTTTAGAGCGTCACAAAGTGATCAAGGGCCATAACTTTGGCAGTAATTATCGGAAATCATTGAAAATCAATAGGATTCTTTGTCTCATGACCTTAAACACTGTGTATAAATTTAAAGTCAATCAGATATTAACTTTGGCCTTTAGAGTGTCCACAAGATTTTTCAAAGTGATCAAGGGCCATAACTCTGGCAATAATTATCGGAAATCGCTGAAAATCAATAGGCTTCTTCGTCTCATGACCTTAAACACTGTGTATAAATTTAAAGTCAATCAGATATTAACTTTGGCCTTTAGAGTGTCCACAAGATTTTTCAAAGTGATCAAGGGCCATAACTCTGGCAATAATTATCGGAAATCGACGAAAATCAATAGGCTTCTTCGTCTCAAGACCTTAAACACTGTATATAAATTTAAAGTCAATCAGATATTAACTTTGGACGGATGGACGGACGGGGGTGACGACAATATACGACCACATTTCAATGTGGGCGTATAAAAAATTATGTCTAGTTACCTGCCATACTCCTTTGGCTTCAAGAATAGAAAGATAAACAAAGTATGTACAGCTTACAAGAACCATTGCATCTGTTGGTGCATGCTGTAAACATAAATAACCACATGCTTTGGCAAAATATATATTTCTATCATTTTAATTTTTTTGTGTTCTTTTCATCAGGGAAGGTCCAAAACAAGTGATTTATTGAACACCTGATACCACTTCTAACTTGTGAAGTGAAGTAAGGAATCAAAATCTTTTTCAATGCTTTGTTATGCTGGGTTGTTTTTTAACATTTGTATCATCTGTGCATTTTTGTTCTAAACCAAAGATTTGGTAGGTCACTCCTATTACATCTATAGACATGATTAAGAAAAGTACATTAGACCTTTCAAGAGATTTCACAGAATTTTCTGTATCAAGGGTGGTTCTAGAGTCAAACAATCCCAAAATGCATATTTCTCAATGGGCTTTATAAAAATGTATTTATAAGATGATGTGGGGTGAACAAGCAAAAAATATAAGAGAATGAAATATTGGCATAATTTTAATTAGACTGTAAGTATGAATAAGTAGTATAATAACAGGAATAAGATTTATTCTTACGTCACAATTAGAAACTATCAATCCATTTTTGAAGACAGTTAAACTCAGTGATTTATCAAACCATTTAGCCTCTGGATTTCCTCCCAAACCTTGCCATGCTACCTGTAAAATAAATTTTAGGTCAAAATATCTCACCTCAGTAGAATCTGATTACAAATTGAAAGACTGTATGTACTGCATGAATACAAGGATAGACTGTCTCAAGGATACAGTGTGGTTACAGATTTAGCCAGAATAGACCATTTCATTTCCTAAAAATCTGAATATGTTTTAAAAACAGGAGTCTAATTAGTTGTAAAAGGTCTAGTCATCATTACTTATCTTTTCCTAGGATTTTTACCTCTGATTCACTTTTAGGACACTGATCATCTAGTCCAAGAACAAAAATTGATTTTTCTATCTCCTGTAGATGGTGATAATTATCTGGATGTAATGCCAATATTCTACTTCTTTGCTATACAAATATAAAACTGACATTTTATCAAACAGCATAGTAATGAAATGAAATGAAACAGGGTTTAACGTCCTACTGTTCTGCGCCTATACTGGGCTAATGAAGACAGGCATACGCCGTACAGTGTGCTATGAGGGAAATTTTGGCAGCGGCACTATCGCCTACTCTTATATCGAATTCCAACTGCCAAGGGATCTTTTACATACATTCCAATGTATACACGGGACCTCGGTTTTTCGTGTCATCCGAAGGACTAGACAGCTGTCCTTGTCAGGCCCTCCGTCCTGCATCCCTAACAAGGGGGAACCACACCGGAAAATCTGGATGAACTTTCTCGGCCAATGCAGGGATCGAACACCCGACCTCCAGACTAGCGAGCCAGCCCTCTACCCACTTAGCAAAGTGATCCCCCCATCATAGTAATAAATCAACTAGAAATTATTTTTATTGTTCTAGTTGTGCATACAAAATTAGTTACCTCAATAAGCCAATGAGTGACATCAAAACTCCCTGTCACGAATTTCATGAGAGACTCATTTTCTTATTCATGGGAATATTTAATTGTTGGGGGGTTCCAACAAATGTTTTTTATAAAGCAGAGTAGCAGTTATCATTATTTATTTATTGCTGGAGAGGTAGACCATCCTCTTTAAAAGCGATCTCCCAGTTTTAAAGTATTTAAAACAAATGATGAACTGTGCAGATATATCCTATTTGCTTTGCCTAAAAGCTTCAGCTCAAAACATTTAGCTTTTTGGAAATGATAACCAAAACTTTTTGTAGTGTCTGACTAGCAACTTTTTATTAGTGACCTAATAATGCAACTGTTCAATACCATTGCAAGCTTTCTTAAGAGATAATTAAATTGCAGAAATAATGTGCGAATTTAGATTACTTCCTGGAAAACGACCAGAACCCCCCACCCCCCCAAAAAAAATATAGCAGGAAGTTGCTGTGCAAGCGTTTGTGTTACAGACAGGTTTATCCAGGCACAAAGTGACGGCTAGAAGATTGCCTGTCAACTATAACACGATAGTATTCTTTTGAAAACACACCACAGAGCTCTAGATAGTTGTTTGATGGTAGAATACATAGCTCTAAAAGCTTTCTAAGCATAATAACAATTAACAAGGTTTTATTCCCTAAAAGATATCTGAGAGTTCTCTTTTAAATCAGATTAATCTATAGGACTAAGTGTAATTACCTCTGCCCATTCTGTTCTACCTAGAGTAGGAAGATAACCCACTCCATCCCCATGAGGTAGTCTAGAACACTGTGTCTCTATTGTTTGTATTAAATGCTGTATTTCTGGAGCTGTCAAAGGCTCATTATTGTCATCTACAACATTTACAGTAAAGATTCGTCCTCTACACATTACTATTACATTTGTTGGACATTCACCTTCTTCATCTAAAATTAAAAGCAAATTTGTATTAATGAATGAATGAAATGTGGTTTTATGGCATGTTGCGCCAAACATATGGTGAAAATATTCGAGACAAAATAAAAGAAATTACAGAAATATATTTATGTCCATAAATAAAAACAAATATCACAGATACTATATAAAATAAAAAATATATATCAAATTATGAATATAAACAATTAAAATGAAAGAAAACAAGTTACATATATACAATTAAAACTTATAGTAAAATTTTGTCTCTTAAAAAGTTTTGGATCTTACAATATAGCTCTGGTTGAGCAAATAAGTGGTGTAATGTCTGACAACGGTAATATGTTGATCTTATATTTCCAAGATACATACACTCAATCAAAATGTGCTTCACCGTCAAAGGTACTTGACAGTGTTCACATTCTGGTTGAGGCTCTCGCTTTAGGATGAAAAAATGTGTTAAAAAAGTATGACCAATACGAGAGCAACACAAAACAACTTCATCCCTCTTGTTGGTACTATAGGAGTTGAGCCAATCCCCAAGAAGAGGCTTGATGTGATGAAGTTTGTTTGTGCCTGCAAGATCCCATGACCGTTGCCAGCAGCCATAAATGAGATGATTTATTGATGACTTAAAATCTTGATATGGTATTAAAGACGGTGATAAGGGGAGATATTGGAGCATAATCACCATACTTAGACCTTAGCTCTCTAAAGAGATTGGAACACCGTGGAGCTAGTATCTTTCTTTTTATGTTGTGTAAGATTGAAATCGATCTTAGGTGGAGATATAGCCCACGGTGGTGGCCTAAAGAAAGGGGTATTCACAATACTGTCATGGCTGATACCAGCCTCAGACAAACAAAATTTGTATTAAGCAAAGTCAAAATTTCATTCATGGCCACAACTTACTTCAAACATTGGTTTAATTATCAACTCCTTAAATGACATCTAAAAGTATGGTTAAATATTCACATCATGATGTTTCAAGGGCTTTTCCAAACAGCCGATAAGATCGATGCTCAATATGTAGTATATCATTATTTCAAATTTGATGAAGTTTAAGATGTTATAATACCTGTTTTAAAATGATAAAGAAGCTTATCTTGAAATGGTCCTGGTATACGAGTGGTATTCAACATTCGGTGAAACTGATTCATACATAATGGTCTCCCTTTACTGTCTTTATGAGGTCGTAAAGTTTGGCTGCAAATAAAATGTTGAAAAAAGTCATGGAACATCATTATTAACTACGACAGACAAAAAGTATAACTGACATTAAAGTAGGAGTCAAATATGCGGCATGAAATTATTCATAAATCATAATCTGTAGCAGTAATTATCATACAACCATAATCAAACTGTGTGTTTCAATTTATACTTGAACATTATGCAAGCAGTTATGCTTACCATCTGAAACAGGGGTAATCAGATAGACAGGGATTGTGGATTTTGCTGCCATAATATACTTTTTATTTGACAATAATATAGCACATTTGACACCGGTACTGACTTAATTCCATGACATTATTATTATTATTGTTCGATTTATATAGCGCTTCATTACACGAGTGTTTCTAAGCGCATACATTACTATATCATCCAGTTGAGTTGTAAGTTGATATATGCCAGCTTTAATTGTGGTACTCTTGTAGTATTTGCTTTATTTTGTGGGTCAATATTGGACAGCATTGTCAATTAATTTACAAAATCTGAATACCTGTAACTAATTTATTTATTACAATAAAACTTACTTTCTAATCGCTTGCCAGAATTTTATAACATAATACGTAAGTATTCCTGCCCTCTCTATCTGAGTTCCGTCTGCTGGAGGCCAGAGCGAGTTCATGTATGGACCCGGACCTGCCATATTACCAAATACTGCATTTGGATTCCTCAATTCTAGATATACTCCGTCATCCCACCATTTCTCTAACTGATTAAAAAATTCAATAGCAGAGTTAAATAAAAGAAATATACGAAAATGCAACATAAGGTTATCTTAAACATGCATTATGCAAGAGTTAAATCTGTCTATTGCTGGTCTTTCTTTAGGCCTGAAATGTTTTCTAAGGTATTAATTAGACATTAATTAACTAGCCATTCTTGCTATAATAGTTCAAAAGTAGATGATGTAAAATGAATAATTTGAAAATTTCATTCAAATTACTCTATTGCAAGCAATGATGTTAGCCTTTGAAGGTTTGACAGACGTGTGCAATAATCTCAACCACCGTACTGGTTGATCGAAGCTAAGTCTCGGTCCTCCATATTTGATTAAATCAATGTATCCCTGAACCATTCTAATCTATTTAATATCGGAGAAATCTGATGCCATCGAGAGTTGATTAAGGACTGGATCAGTTAATAAATGTCTAATTAATACTTTAGAAAACATTTCAGGCCTAAAGAAAGACCTGCAATAGGCAGATTTAGCTCTTGCATAATGCATGTTTAACTACACAATATCAATTAATTAGAATAGTAGATCTACATATTGTTTACTTTGATGTTCAGGTGAATAATCCGGCTTATTGTGTCTGTAAGTTTATCCTTTATATATATGTGCAACTTGAGGGTTAATTCTGACAGAGAATGGTTTTGCGCGAATGGCTACTATTCCGAGAATTCCACAGTCTTCCTCTGAAAGCTGCAGATTATACTTTCAGCAACAGCGAGGAATGGGCTCAGGAAATTACATGGTCAACATTTTTCAGGGGATTAGGGGACCATGGTATTGAATTCATTGGGGCACTGAACTCTCGTCTAGTATGTTCTGGTTTTGAAATCTCTGCATGGTCCGCTTCAAACCTTCATGATTTTTTAAGCCTAAGCTTCACTTAAAAGGGAAGTTTGCCTAGATGTTTGTATAGTACAAAAAAAAAAACCCAAATCATCCAATGTACACAATGGTTTGCACATGAAAAAACTCCTGACAGTTGGAAATCGAAAGAACGGTAGGCAGAAAAGCTGCTGTTTAGGCTGTGCACTGAATCTGAGCACAAAAATAAAATTTACAGAAGTTCTTTAGGAACTTGGTAAATTTTAAATAGTGCACCTTAATCACACATAATTAGTGGAAGGAAGACTGCCACAAAATATTCTCAGATCTTACCCAGTTTCTCATGTATTTGGCTCTTTCAAATAATTTGAAGTGAAGTTCTTTACCAACACCTGAGTGAAATTGTTGAACTAAAAATTCTGTCTGTTTATATTCTTCATCAGTAACAAATGGTTTTACTGAAATAATAGATTCAAAAATATTATTCAAATTATTTGTTCTCTTTATATAGAAATGAGATATAAAGAAAAGTTGTGTTGTTGGCATAAATCCTGACAGTGCTACAAATAAGAATTTGACCTTCTGATGGAATGTGTCATAATTACATCGATATTTAAATGATTTGTGCATATCTAGTCAAAAAAAGAATTATGTGCAGTTAGTCATGAAAAGATTGTTACAGATGCAATCACAGAATATTAAATATCTACAGCCCTGCCTCAACAGAGGTTTCCTGATCTTAACGGGTAGGATTTATGAAAAATAAACATACAATGTACCTAAATCATACAGATCAGATGGTGTGAGATTATAGACCTCTTAAAATATCTACAGGTAGATGTTATGCATCCTAGTTCACAAACAAAATTCTCTCAATCTTTTTTATTTAATTTAATGTTTTGTAAATTGTAGAGCAATTTTATCATACATATCTTCTCAAATTTATTGATTTTTAACATTGGTGCTCACGTCTACCCTCACCTCTCAAGCCCCATCCAACCTCTGCCCCACCCCAACATTTCAAAACACATAACGCATGTATATATTAATACAATATCTTTATTGGACATTAAAATGTACTAACATATAACACAAGGTATTGTATAAACTCAAACCATGTATGAGTAAATTGAAACATCAGTGCTCACATCTAAACACCACCCCCAACATTTTAATATTATATATTAATATTATATCTTTGTTGGACATTAACAAGTACAAAATAACATAATAATATAACACAATATATATGTTATAAACTTGATAACAATACCTGTATGAGTAAATTGAAACATAGGACATATGAAACATATATTACAAGGAGTATATAATCCATATACCTTGTGTTTTATGTTCTTATAAAAGTGTTACAATATTAACCTGAATCCAAATATCTGTCCAATGTTTTTTGTAATGGAGGTATTGGTAACGACGGTAATGACTCCTGATTACCAAACGTCTTCTCATCATCCGATAAAAACATAGCAGATGCCATTTCTATCTTTGCTGCAAGGCAATTCTGTTTAATTTCTGTGTCCAACTTTTTTATTCACTTACAGATTCTGAAACAGATAAGCTACATATGGTAAACATTTTGTTGTTTACATTTCACTAATAAAGAGAAGGGCAGTTTTACAACTAGTACTGTATATTAGTTTTACATTTCAAATGCCTCTTACATATATATATCTTGTTTAATATCTTACTTTATTTTTTTAATTATCAAATGTTTTCTGATGTTTATAAAATATGCAGCCCTAACTGGAAATTACCAACAAGAATAAAAAGACATTTGCATAATTGAGTTAACATTCTAGTTGGACTATATTAGACAAAAACACAATTTTGTTTTCAATATATCACATGGATTTATTGGATTGATGGAAATTCCAAACTATGTTTGAGCTGTGTTTTCTGGACTTACATGTGTATGAGCTACAGTTTAATTATCGATCAAATCTTAAATATCAGTTAGTCCAAGTCAATGCACCCAGGCCCGTTGATTTCTTTCTTAATCAAAATAATAAAATATTTTTCTACTCATTCAAAAGTATTTGTTGATTATGTTTTTTTTTACTTTTTAAAAGAAGTCAAGTGGTTAAATATGTACCTGTAGGCTACCCAGACTAAATTCAGAAAGCCAAAGTACAATTGAGTTTTTGTCGTAAGAGGTTCAGAGTCCAGACAGATAACAAAATAATAAAAATTGCAATCTAATTTGTAGCTATCTTTGCGTTTCCTATCTTTGAGTACTTTGACTCATGATAGCGTCAATGGACCAGAAGGCCAATAATCATATCCTTTATAAAATTAAACAAAACTAATGAAGTGTTCCTTAGATGTTAATGTAGGCAATTAAAACCAAAAATATGGTTGGAAGCTACTTTAAATCAATTATCATTCTGAACATTTTTGAATTTTAATAGGATATAAACAATTTAAAAAAGAAATCATGGCTTAGTTGAAAAAAATAATTTAAAAGAAAACTACCATATGTTCACAAGAAAAGTTGAATGCAAATAAACATATAACTGAATAGTGGGTATATAAAAACAATTCCCTTTTGACATGTCACAAGTGTTCAGTCAATTTATTTTTGTAATGTTGACTACAATGTTAAAGTAGCTAAGTCTCTAACTCAATATCGTCCAAATTCTTCAACATTGAAAACACGATTTATTTGTCAAATTAAATCAATATTCATGTTGTGATCTTACCGGGAAAAGATGGGCTTTTGATATCCAATATTTAAGACAAAACAATTGGTACACGAATCGTGTACCATAATGTGCTTCAGCCCCAGTTGCATCAAGAGACTCGAGGGACGAGGCTAGACACATTGCGCCAAATCAAACGGCGTATGTAGACTGGAATAACTAGACGCTAGAAATTTGCACTAGCTTGAGACTGCTGGCTTATTTCGCCGAACATACGGAAACCATTGAATGTAAATCAGTTTATATACATTCATATTACAGTATTATATGTGTTGCGACCCACTTTTGTCAATTTCTAGGTCCCAAATGTTAGCGATTTAGCTCCTTTAAATCGAACTGGTTTTAAGTTCATGACCTTTAATCTAAACCTATTGTTTACTTTGATTCCCCATATATTGACACTGACAATTAATGATGAGGTTTTTTTACCACCCAGTCTCCGATCTTGGGAATAAACATTGGATCAACATAACAATGTACATTATTTATTGATACGAAAAGAATAATAATTAATCTAATTATAGTCTCAACATATAACGGGTTTCCACAGACGGCACAGATCCGTACATGCCTATCGTTGATTTCTGGTTAGACCGATAATTAATAATAAGTAATAAGGCGATATGGGATGTTTGGATTTGGATTATTTTGCCTACTAGGCTAGTTACTACTACAACTTACGTGAATCTGTGTAGAATATAAACAGACCTGAATCAATCATAAAGATCTGTTATGCACTCTGCTAGTCTACTAATTCACTGTCAATCAAGTTTTGAGTAATGCACGTGAAACCAAAAACGAGAGTTAAAGATAAGACAGCTCAGATACGTCGGTACAAAGTTCAACTTTTTGTTTTGAAGCTGTTTATAGTCTCGATTGTCACAAGTGTTTAATGTATAGAAACGGAACTACACCGGAAAGCGAAGGCTATTATTTATAGTTAATGTATCTTCACAACATTAAAGAATAAAATAACAGGGAAGTAACTCCTAATAATTATGATTACCTGGTTTCAGACCAGTAACCCTCTCCCAACTGACTTCAATGTTAAATTCATGCTATTCCTGGGCCAACAACATTTTTTTTAACATTCCGATGACCTTAATCTTTATAACCACATAGGTTTCAGATTTTGTTTTTGTGCTAATTTCCCCAATTCATGCCTGCTTACGTCTTGAATTTTCGCATTTAAAAATAACAATTCACCAAAACCTGGCATAAAAAATAAATTCAAACACTCTTCTTCAATTTGAGACCAAAAAGTCAACAAAGAGTGTCATGCAAACTCGGAAAAAAGAGAATTGCAATACAAAGATGCACTACCAGAATCAATTAGTAGTCTTAATTCTACCTCCCTCCTCTGAAATCTTCATATCTTGAATGATTCCACCCCAATCCTGTTTCTACACACTATAAAAAGTGTACTGGCAGTTGTATTGGTTTAAGAGACAAAACAGCCTACTGTTGATTTTTATTACTCAGTTTAATTCATTTTCATCTTCGTGTCTTAAATTTCTAAAACACTGTCAAATAGAGAGAATATGCATGCCTAGCCATTTAGAATTTCTTTGCTAGTGCAAGGCTACGTATACTTTTTGCAGAAATCCTTTAATGGGCCCCTTTTCTGTCTTATTGAATCCAAGTCAGATCATCTACAGTTGATATTTTGATTTTGTTTTATTAAACAGGCATCAACCAAGAGCTAAATCTGCCTATTGCAGATCTTTTTTTTTAGGCCTTAAATGTTATATAAAATATTAATTAGACATTAATTAACTTGCCAAGATCATAATCAACGCTCAATGCCATCAGATGGCAAGATATTTTAAAAATAGATTTTAATATGTTTTATAGTTGAAGCAGTTATCATAAAAATGGATAATCGAGGCAATGACAATCGAGGCTAGACTATAATTGTACCACCGATAGCTAGGCTAAGAGTGAAGTAATTTGACTGAAATTTTCAATATATTCCCTTTTTATTATCTATTTTAAACTATTATAGAGAGAACTTCAGATCTTTATATTATCTTACCTAATTAAATAATCAATTTAAGTACGATACATTCTATCATAGATTAAGATGTGGAAAATTTGATATTTCCAAAATATTGCAAAGGAATGTATTGAAAAATTTGGAAGTATGACACACCCACAAGTCTTCTAAGCTGAAAATTGAAACTTAAGAAATAAAAGTGAAATATTGTTCTGTTTTTTTAAGCAGTGTTCTCAAAACACTAAATTTTTTTAAGAGATCCAATTTCATTGTAGCATATGTCATTTAAATAAATTTGAAGATCGCGACTTGACCTGCCATATTGCTGAAGTTCTATTACCAGACACCCCCATCTATATGATAATCAGCATTCTATGGTTACCGCCACTATAATTTCATTTTATTAAAACAGATATTCAAGTTTCTACTATTTTTATTTACAAAATAAATGTACAAATAACAACAAATTGTGTAAATAACAAGATTTCATGAGACTGTAGGTATTATCTTAGGTACATCTGTCCTCATTACTTTAATTAATTCTTCGTTAATTAGGAATATAAACCGTAAACTTGAAATCTGAAAAAATAATAAAAAGAATACAGATTTATTAAACTGATTGTTCCAATTTTTACAATTAATATCAGTCTTGTAACTGGTGTTAAAAGCACGATTTTCCTGTAATTTATACATCAGTATACCTTTGCTAACAAAGCAACACTAATGTACATATTGTCATTGACTACAGCTGAACGTTTAAAGGCATCAAAATATTTTAGTTCTTTTGAATGGTTACTTCTACATTACAAATACATTCTATAAGTCTTATGTTCTAAGCATGCAAATCTTAGGCAGATCTTGGATCAGCATTGCCGATGGCATCTTAACTGTTTTAGTTACTTGCTAATTAAATCTGTTCTAAGCATGTACATTGTCAGCCAACATGGGTAGAGTACCAAATACAAAGAAAGGCTTGGATCAGTGGTGCCAATAATGTTATGTCTTTGTGTTTTCTATATAAAGATTTGCCTATATATAACTCTCTGATTGTATGATCCTGTAGACTGTGTTCATTCAACTACGTCCTAGCTTTATTGCACTGGTTCTTTAAAATTTTGTGATATAGGAAAAAGGGAAATAACACTGAACTGTGCCAATGCACCTTTTTACCTTATCATAATTAAAAAAAAATAATTAAAGTTTGTGTAATCTGATTTTTAGAATAAAATGGATTCATACCTCAACTACAGAATTATGAAATAGTTTTTGTTTGTTTCCCTTAGCAACTGGTTTTCCATCAATATAAATTGGCCGTTTTCCTTCATTTGCAATAAAAAAATCTCCACTATTCCTTAGTTTTATTACTCCTTGTTGTCGAGATATTTTCCATGCTGGACCTTCAAGTGATAAATCAACATCTACATTGTTATCTTTTGTTGCTCTCCCTAATGTTATCTGAAAGAGATTCAATCAGGAAAACATTGTTTTAAATTGAAAACCATCCATTTCTAAATACATAATCTATTTGTATTAATTAAAATTAAATCACAATTTTGGTTTGTTTTTTTTCTTCTGAATTTTACACTACATTCAGATCTATTTTCGATCACAACAATATTTTGACAAAATCCATCAAAACAACTCTTAATTAATGCTTGGCTTTAAAATTTTCATAATTCACTATAAAACAAATCTTTACAGACAAATTGATTGCTCAATCAGTCCACATGTACACAGGACCTGTGCTTTGATCATAAGATCAGGCCTTCCATCCTGCACTTTCCGGCATGGTTTCCCTTTGTCAGTGATGCAGGACGGAGGACCTGACAAGGACAGCTGTCTAGTCGGTCAGATGGGATGAAAAATTGAGGTCTCGTTTATACATTGGCATGCATGTTAAAGATTACTTGGCAGTTGGAATTTGATATAAGAGTAGACCATAGCAACGCTGTCCAGCAAAATTTCCTTCATGGCATATGCCCGTCTTCCTTAGCCCAGTTGGAGCAGAACATCCTGCACTATGGTCATGGGAGAGAGAGAGAGAGAGAGAGAGAGAGAGAGATGGGGTTTAAGTCCACTCGACACAAACTAGGTCATTCGGGACTAACACATGGTTTAATTTTATTTCAATAATTCGCTTGTGCGTAGGGGTCTTTAGCAGTGGGAGATGGAGGACCCGGAGAAAACCCACGAGGTTGGACAGGCAACCCTACTCCTTGTCACCTACAAATGGGGAATCGAAACCACGCCAGTTGACTCAATGACATACCTTATAATACAGCGCGCACATGCTAACCATTCGGCCATCCACCCACCCCCCTCACCCATATATAAGAAACAAGCGGTTGTCATGCAAGATACACCCACATTTGGCATGAGATGGGTGGAGAATGTCCACATGAAAATGCAGGCATATAAATATGGAATATATCATAATGAAAAGGACATCAGAATTTGTCTAACACTGAGCTCAGTAATATGACTTTTTTCACTTTTTGAGCTTACTGAGTTATTTTCTGCACACTTGTGGCTGTTACTAAAATAAACTTTTTCAAGGTGTACAATATTCAGCTTGAGCTGTAATTTGGGGTTGTCAGAACAATAATAATTTTAACAATATTAGCCTTACATAATTCAGTGTGGGGCTTATAAAAACATGTCCATCTCAAGCAAATATTTGTGGATACAAACCTCTTTTGATCTCATTAAATATCGAACTAATCTTCCTCTTAAAACTGCTAAGGTTTGATTATCAAAATCAGGTGGACTAATACCTATAATATATAAAAAAAATATTTTCTATAAAATAAAAAAAAAACTTTTATTTTTCAATTCAAGACAATTCTGTCAAAAAAAATCTTAATTTTCCACATCTTTATTGGTTAGTGAAGGGATCTTAAGTTATTCTATGTAACAAAAATAGGGAGGGAAATAATATTTTTTCAAAACAAATAATACTTTTATAAGATATAACTGATGATATAACGTTATTCAATAAAATTAACAATTTTAAACAAGAAATTAACAAGATAGCTTAAAATATCTTGGAGCAAGTTTATTTACCAATAAATGATATTTAACAGAAAATATTACAGTAATAAAGTTATATGACTGACCTGTGACATTATCTACTAAAACTTGTAATTTAGGCATTTCTTGTTCTAAATATCGTATCTCTCTTTTACTTCTTCTGTCAGCTATAGCTAATTCTATCAAATACAAGATAATAATAAAGTTAACCAAAAAAATTCCATGCATGACTTCCATTTAAAGGAGAAATCTCAGATTTTACAGTGACTAAAACTAGTAAGTTCTTTGTAGAAGCCTCTCATATACATTTATCCTGGTCCAAATCCACTATCTTAACGTCTGGTGATACATTTACAAAGAAATACCAACAATCTCAAGGTCATGTTTCACATTAATTCACAATAATAAAAAATTAATACTGATGATCTGGTGATCTCATAATACAAGTTACAATGTACTTGGTCAGTTTTTTCCACCGGAAACTGTACTGAAATGGTAGAAATTAGGTCTTGACTGCAGATTTCCATAATGACTGACACCTGCCTATGTCCCCTAATCACATGCTTTATTGTTTTAAATATACTACAAAGAGAGTATATTTTTGAAAAAAATGTTTTAAAAATTAGAATCCAGGCCTGTCTTTGCATAACTTAAAACAAATCTGTATGGTAGAACAAACTGCTGAGCAAAAGTTAATTTGGTAACGTGGAAATTACCTCTTTCTACTACATCATCTTTTTGATCTCTGAAAAAAAAAGAAAGAGATTTACTATCTCTCTTTTTGAATCAATAGAAAGAAAAATAGTTGGCTTAATATCCTAGATGCAGTGTTTCTGATAAACTATTTATCAGAATTCCAATGAAATTATCATTTTTATCAAGAACATAACTATATAATTTCTATTCATATTACATTACATGTAATTGGGCTACTGGGATATGTTTTTCTTAGGTTAATTAGGTCATTTAACTCTAAAATTTATTTCTTGATGAAGCCTCTACCAACCAGTATATTTATAAAATATGGAAGTTAATGGTTAATGTACTTACAATAAATCTTCATCATTCATCACATCTTCTGCATCAGAAAAATTTAAGATATGATCACCTCTTGGCATTGGCTGGACTGAAAACAAAACAGATAAACATATTCCATATCAATGTGTCATATCATAGGAAATTATTCATACTTAAAATAATATTATATTTAATTTAACTAAAGAGTAGAAAATCCAAACGGTGACCTACAAAGACTAATGAATTACGTGGGGCTTTAAACTGGAAACATCTATCTATATCTCAACATCAGATTTTTCTCAAAATCTCCAGATAAACAGAAAAATTAATTCACATGTTGTTGTTCTTAGTGTTTAACGTCTGCTTCCACCAAAGGTGATATCGCAGACAAGTTGTCTTTATTTTCATTTTAATGATCTTAGCGCACGCGCAGGGGTCTTTGCTGTGGGAGGAAAACGGAGTACCCGGAGTAAACCCATGAGGTTGAGAAGGCGCCCCTATCTCCAAGCCACATATGCTCACACCAGGGATCGAAACCACAACCACAAGCCAGAGGTGACCGGCCAACTAGAGGTCGAAGCGTGACACTCTAGACCACTAGGCCATCCCAACCCCCCATTAATTCACGTCTAATCTATAATTATTTTATAACAACAAGCAAAGACAGTCAAGGTGTTACTGTATAAAGCAAACAAACCTGATTGGTCAGGAAGCAGATGATACTGTTTCATTAACAGCCAATGAGTATGAAGTGCTTTGGGTGTTCGAGCTGGATGAAATACATCTGGATTTTCATTTATTAATTCTTGAAACTTTTCTAAAGATGGACTTTTGGTCTGAAAAATAAAAATAAGTACCTATTTCTACAAAGAATCCCCAATTTAGAATTTCATATGAATCATATGAACAATAAGCAGTAAGTACAAAGTAATATGTGTTTCAATACATAAATGTTTGCAGAACAAGATATTGGCAAAAACAATCAGTCCGTTCATTTTATATTTCAGTCAGTTGCTTTCTATATTTCAAAGTCAGTTGATTTCTATATTTCAAAGTCAGTTGCTTTCTATATTTCAAAGTCAGTCAATTTTCTATATTTCAAAGGAATTGTAATTATAGTAGGTAAACTTTCTGTGTATTTTTTTTTTGCTGATCTACTAAAGAACAATAGCTATAACTCACAGAAGGTATATGTCCTAGTAATTCTTCTTCTTTATTATTATATAAAGCTTTACACTGAACTTGTTTAATTACATCAGGATGTAACATCTTCATAGCTTGTACAGATAATCTGAAAAAAGATAAATGTATAGAACAATTAAATTTTATTTTCTTCTCCACTGACTATGCAATATATTTGTGTTTTAATTTTTCAGCCATCAACCATCCCCATCATACAGATAAATTTAACTACTGGAAACATACTTTCACTGCACACTGGTTGGAATTTGGTTGATTATCTGGCAAGAAAGTCAAGCAAATATTATTATGAGCACCTTAATGCTACATGTAGTTCATTCAACATTTTCAGAAAACACTTTACAATCAGTGTGAAACAGAAAGAGAATGAAATTTCAATAGGGTTCTTCCTTTCGTCAAAATAAACAAACCTTGAAAATGTAAAAAAATTGTGACAAGAAAAGTGTCATGTTGGACATTCACAGGAAAATGTGTATGGACCAACAGACATAAGTGACAACAATATATATATATCCGTATAAAGGTAGTGCACAATGTGTCCAATACTGTCATTACATTTTTAAAGGTGTCACTTTTACAATATTCAACTTACATTTGTTATTACGTACTTGTTTAAGTGAGAATTTTATTTTAAAGTCTTCCACTTACTTAGATATTTGCTGATCATAAAGTAGAGAGTACCATCTTTCTTGTATTTCTTTTAATGTAAAATGACAGGAGAATTTAACACCTAGATGAACGATACTCAGATCATTAGTTTGTTGAACAGCGTTGATCAACAATAAATCGTCCTGTGCTTTCCATCGACCCAAATCTTTCATTGACGTTTGTACAGCTGCCTGAAAAACAGTATGTGGCAATCAAAGAATACTTAAAATTTGATTTTGAAATAAATCTATTAATTCCCAGGACTAAATGAATTTATGAGGAATACATAATCTTATTCATAAAAAACATGATAATAGTTAATTAATAACTTCCAATCAGTTTTTAACATTTTATTTAAGATGTTGATACTACTTAAAGTAATCTCATAAAGGTAATTAATTTTGAAGTGTGTTTTTATATATGATTTATACAATAAAACTTCATTAATATCCACAGAATGTAGGTAAGATAAAAACAATGTATAAGGATTCTTTAGATAAAAGAAGGTCCAATAAAGCATTATTAAACAATTAAAAGTCTTAAAAACATTGTAAATTACACAGTGGAAAAAACTGTTTCAAATTCAAGTTATGTCCCTTGAACAAGCGATATTATATGAGGAGGTAATGAAGCCTGAGAAATCAGTTTTGTAAAGGCACATCTAATCTGACATGTCTTGTGGATGGAGACTCATCAAAATGGAAACCTCAGAATATAAACATAGCTTGAATCTACTTATCTGACATGTCTTGTTGATGGAGTCTCATCAAAATGGAAACTTCAGAATATAAACATAGCTTGAATCTACTTTTACATTTAATTAGAAGAAGGGGTTTAATATAGGTTATGCCTGTTCCCCAATCCTTATTCAGATACACATCTGAATAAAAATATTGTTTATAAAAAAATTTTTTTAGAAAAACAGTAGTATTGCCAATCCTAATACATATATACATACTCTTTGTTTCTTGTTTCTTTTAGCACTGGATTTTGCAGGCTGAAAAGAAAAGAGATTGATATAAGAAAAGCACAATCAGTTGAATTAATGAATAAATATCTAAATTAAAGTTCTCAAATAAGATAAAAGATTTAAAAACATGAGAAGATTTACTTACCCTGGCATTATTGCTGGGTGGTGGTAATTTTATCTTTTTCTCTGGTATGGGAGCTGGAGGTTCGGGGGGAGGAGGTACAACAACTGAAACAGGTGCTTCAACCTTTTCTACAGCAGGCACCGGTGGCACAATTGGAGTTTTTATTCGACCTGTCGTTCTTTCAGTTTTAATTAAACTACTTTCCACCAATTCATCATCAAATTTCTTCCTTTTAATAGACCGAGTTGAGCTTCTTCGAGCTGGGATTGGGTCTAAATTTAAAGGTGTTCGTAGTGATCGTTGAGGTGTTACTTTGACAGTTCCTTTAGGCGTGGTTGTTAATGGTGTGGAGGGTACTTGAAGTATTTGGGTTTTAATCAACTGACTGGGTGCAGCAGGAGGAGTAGCTGGAACAACAGCAGGTGTTGATGAATTTTCTAAAATGAAAAACAAATCAAATGTTAAATGTGATTTTGCTATATTTCCATGCTACTTGCATTTGAGGCAAACTGATTTACATTCATTTTTGAAATTTTTTATTGTAATTTCTAATCAGCTTTGTTTGTCGAAAAGTGTAAACAGTCCAAATTGAATGGTACAGTCGTTCGCACCTGGTTAGTCCAGTCTATATCAGAAGTATGGTTTAACATTTCGCTTAGTTACAGATTGCTGTTTAGCTTTGTTCATCAAGGCACCTCATTTCAAATTTAGCTCAAGAGCATTGAGTAGATGCATGGAGTACTGTTCTTAAAATTGTTCACTGTGTTAAAAATATTGGATATATCAGGAGCCCATGTTTTTACGATAAGATAACAACACACTATGGATTGGAATGCACCAATAATTTGTGTTTGTAATGTCAAAGACTATATTGAGTTAGAGCCTTAGGCCCTTTAAAGATGCATTATGTAAGATATAAATCTGCCTATTGCAGGACTTAATTTTGGCTTCAAATGTTAAATAAACTATTATTTAGACATTTCTTTACATGCCAAGCCTATAATTAATCAACTCTCTGGACCATTGGATGGTCAAGATTTAAATTGGTTGGAACACCCATGAGATTTAATAATTTAACAACAAAATTTATAATTGAGACTTAGTCCTGATTATCAAGTACCGTTGCTACAATAATAAACAATCGGCCATATGTGGTTCATAATTCAAGTAATTAGCACATTTCATGATGATTTTGATAATCCGGTAAAAAAACAAAATAAGCTTGTTGATTATTCATAATAGGTTCAGTTAAATAAGCCATGTGGCCAGTGAAGACGATGGACAGAAGCCTACAGATTGTGTTATGAAGATATGCCCTTGGTGCCGTAGATCAGCTTTTTTTGGCTACAGCATTATCTGATACTGCCAATAAACAATAAACACAATTTTGATTTTTAGACAGTATTAGTAATTAAGATTCAGAGGATTCGCCGCGCAGATTGCATATATGAGAATTCTCTTAGATTCTCGCAAAAAATGAAGAATTTCTAGCCCTGCAGAAGGTAGCACGTCATTTCGGTCCCGTCTCATTTCGGACTCAACACAGACCACCTTTCGGACTCAGTTTGACAACGGTTCAGATTTACTCAACGGCTTTTTGGACTCGGTCTGGCGACGTTTCGGACTTAGATGAATAATTAAAAGACTGTTGAAAATTTGTTTGATATATTTGTAATAGCTGTTTGTTTTTTTTTTCGTTTTATGTGAGTCTGATAGTTGTTTTGTTTTATTTAATTGATCAGCGATTCTTGAGACCGCTAATAAAAAGATAACACAGATTTTACACTGCTTGTTCTATTTTAGTTTCATCGGCGAATATTGAACTTGACAATAATAATATATTGTTGAAAATTTGTGTATATTTAGTAATACTGCTAATGTTTTTAGAATTGTGAAAGCCAACATGTCTTTTACATGAGTCAGAATAATCAAATCAACACACGGCCGCCATTATCATCGATTGACAACTCCTGATTGACAATGGTTTTTTCTTTGCACATACTACAATAACATAGGGATTATCGGTAAATCAGCTTTAATTATCCCACTTTGATTGTTTGCATTTCTAATATTTTCCAAAAAGAGTTGTCTTTGTATGCATTAATTTAACGATTTGTACTGCTATCTATGGCAAGCTTGTCGAGGAATGCATGTCAACGTGTAGCTTACGGATTATCGTTAAAATATTCCAGAGGCTTGTAAAAACACAGCATATTATTCTTTTTTCTTTTTTTTAAATTACTTTTATGGGAAACGGTGATTTAAAGAACTGTAAGTGCAACTATGTTTTATCGTTTGGTAGAGTCTTTTAATAACCACATGTTTCATGTTAATATTTTTTTTCGTGTTTTGAATTGGCCTATTTTTAATAAATTCATCAGCTACTTTTTATATACATATTACAGATATAAAGAAATGAGACATTCTTTTCATAAACATTCAACATTGAAAATTTTGCAGTCCCTTGAGAGATCTATACAGTGTGTCATCCATGATTCCACGTGCTGTACTTGATTGCCAGCGATAAATTTTACCTGCATGCTATTTTTTGTATAAAATCGCTTTTGGTTTATTATTTATAGATTGATCTGACACTGACAGTTGTGTTCAACCGTTTATTTCAACTTATTCCCCGAGTCCGAAACGTCAACTACCTGAGTCTGAAATGTCACCTGCCCGAGTCCGAAACATCAAGGCCATATTTTTTTTAGTCAGAAATGTTGTAAGTCCGAAAACACGCGGGACCGAAATGACATGTAATCCTGCAGAAGTCATAATCATCATCATGACCGATCTGAGATTCCAGAGATGAGATGAACACTCAGTTCAGTTCACATACCAAAATAACGGGGCTTTTTTAAACCTAAAACTTAATGGGAATTCCATCCTTTTCCTCAGTTATCATATAGTATACCTGTATCTGCCATAATCGGCAATTAAAGACACCAATCTTCAACAATTACAATATTTTTTAATGATTTATTTGTCCATCTTCAAAATTTTTCTCGTTGTTCCACCATTTTGATTACTAAAATTTATAGAATGGTCCGAATATATATTTTATTTTGATCAGTAAAATTCAGTTATTGATATTTCATCAAAAACAATCGTTATTATTTGTGGAAATTTTGCCAAAAAAATGTATTAATAGAGATTTATCTATAAATCTTTGACTTCAAAATGTTTATACAATACAATTGTTCCGTTTCAGTCATTCATAGGCGAAATTTTTATTCTACTTGTACGCTTTATTAACCGGACGCTTAGTAGACGAACAAAACAAGGCGAAAATCGGGCACCTGTTTAGAAAGATTGTCAAGACTTAAATATGAATATCTGAATCATCTGAATCTCATCTCCGAACGCCACGTATCCCATGTGACACCACCACAAGCCGTGAGGATGTTCATCTACCATAATGCATCTTAACCTTCCGTGGCAGGAAGTTTGAAAATGGCGACGATTGTGTGTTGGAATACGGCCTTTTTATTACAAATAATTATTCTAGCAGTTCAGGTTTTAGCTGGGTGAGTTTTTGTAATTGTATAATTTCTAAATATACAAAAAATGATTTTAAAAATTGTTTTATACATTAACCCGAGTAGAAATAGTTTTATCAAGTAGCCGGTGAATGACACCTCTCCTCTTTTTTTGTCACTGGCGTGGATCGCTGTCATTGGTTGGTTATTCAGGAGGTTAAATATAAACAACTAATTTTCCTTAAAGCATAATATTTTTATAGTGATTTATCGGTTCGTAAAAGTCAATTAAAATGTTATTTGGTTTTATACTTTGAAGTTGGATTATCACTTTCAGTCAAAAGAAATCTAAATGATATTAACCTCTAAAGACTAAAGTCGTCATCATATTCAATCATAATCATAATCATGCTCAAGAGTCAATCAGCTTATGCCTTATATAAATAAATAAATAACTTAAATACTAAAATAGTCCATTGAATTGATAACTATAAATAAGTTGTGGTTGGGATAGCCTAGTGGTCTAGATAATGGCACTTCAAGCTCTAGCCTGCTGGTCACCTCTGGTTTGAGAATGTGGTTTCGATTCCAGATCTGAGTGTATGGTATGTGTCTTGGGTTGGACGTGCGGGCACCTTCGCTCAACCTCTTGGGTTTACTCCGGTTTCCTCCCACAGGAAATTGAGGAAAGACCCCTCCGCTTGCATTAAGTATAATAAGATAAGACGACTTGTCTGCGTTAAACACTAATATAAGATGTAGTGTAGTTAGGCCCCTACCTAGTCCTGCAAGTAGGTCTCATTGCACTTTGACTTGTACGTTCAGAAACGTTTCTAACAACTATTTGTCAAAATTGTTTTTCGTCCTTGTTGATATTTTTTTTGGTAAATTTTTACAGCTATACTGTCACCTGTCAGTCCCTGTAAATGCCTGTACAATGTAAATGAACATTTCAGTGAGAAAATAACACTGTGCTTACATGTACCTCGCAAGAGCCAGTATGTGTGACACAGCACGCTGTAGTATCAACAGATGCCCCTCTACCAAATAGCCTGTTACTCGCCTTTGTAGTCTAAAAATAGACTACTGTACAAATCTAAGAACTTGGGCAAATATGTAATAAGTGGAAAAAAATTATAAACTTTGAAAAAAGTACCGTAGTTTACTGTCACATGTATTTTGGTTTTAAAAAGGTAGGCAAAGCGAAATATAACTGAATATACTAAAAAAAATTATCTAAATTTGTTTCATCTTCATGTCACCAACATGCTTGAAGTTTCTTTGATAGGCATTTAGTAATTGAACATGGTATTAACCACAAGGTACAATTTTGTTTATACATAATTGCTGCGTTTAATACTAATTGAAGTTTCGACGAGGATACTCCCATCTTTATCAAGCAAATGATACAGGTATGTGAATAGTGGGCAAATATATACAGAATATGCAACAAAAATAATAATCAAATACAATTAAAACTAAACAACTTTGATTAGGGGGCCATTTACAACTATTCACATATCTGTATCATTTGCTTGATAAAGACAAGAGTATCGTTGAAATGTCGCTTTATATAGTATTAAACTCAATAATCGTGTATCCATAAAATTGTACATGTACCTTGTATTTTTAAAGTTACCCTTAATGTAGTTACTTTAGTAACGTATATGTATCGGCTCTGCTCTATATACGTTACTAAAGTAACTACCCTTAATGATACATGAATTGACATTTAATAGTTGTGTGGTAGATCTCCGAACTGCCAGGTATACAAGACACAAAAAAAGTTTTTAAAAACTTGTATGCCGTGAGTATATACTTTATTACGAGATCTGTTATAGATGAGTTAGTTGTAATAGTTTTTACAAAAATAGATGTACATGTATGTAAACATAGGCCTAGTGTAAAAATAGATATATATACATGTCATGTACATGTAGTATAAAAAAAATTTGTGAGTCATTTCATCCCAACTATTTTTTGGTCAGGTCAATTGTTTGCCACAAGCAATAATTAAAATTATGTTAAACGTATATGTATCGGCTCTGCTCTATATACGTTACTAAAGTAACTACCCTTAATGATACATGAATTGACATTTAATAGTTGTGTGGTAGATCTCCGAACTGCCAGGTATACAAGACACAAAAAAAGTTTTTAAAAACTTGTATGCCGTGTTTATATACTTTATTACGAGATCTGTTATAGATGAGTTAGTTGTAATAGTTTTTACAAAAATAGATGTACATGTATGTACACATAGGCCTAGTGTAAAAATAGATATATATACATGTCATGTACATGTAGTATAAAAAAAATTTGTGAGTCATTTCATCCCAACTATTTTTTGGTCAGGTCAATTGTTTGCCACAAGCAATAATTAAAATTATGTTAAATCTGATGATATTTCATAATAAATCAACCAAGAAAAATGTGTTGATTTAAAAGATCCACAATTTCTAGATATCTGAAAATGCATCGAAAACAATCTAAAAATTAATGATAGGAATTGAATTGAAAATTATATACATGTTCAATCAAAATGGATAAAGAAAGTAATGTATGTGCACAGGTGACGAAACTTTTGCAAAGTTGACAGGTGACATCAAATTTATTAGTTGTACCATGGAACAGGGATCTTCTGTTGCTGTTTATTACAGATTTAACGTCCAATAAAATAAATATGATATTATGGACAGGGAAGATTCTTCCGTCACTTGTGTGTGCTTTTAATGATGTCCATTATTTTGAATTCAATTTTTTTTCTGAAAAATACCAATTATCTTTAACTCATATTTTCCAGGAGGGATTTTTATGCCATTCTTGGTGTGTCCAAAAGTGCAAATACCAATCAAATCAAAAGAGCATATCGTAAATTAGCTAAAGAACATCATCCTGATAAAAATAAAAACGATCCAGATGCAGAGAGACGATTCCAAGATTTAGGTGCAGCCTATGAGGTGAGTTAGTCATTGGTTTTGACAATCTGTGGTTTAACCCTGTTTGTTAAAACATATTTTATTTTACCAGAACATAAATTATTGTACAAAAAGATTGGAACAAAAGATATGAAAACCCTGTAGGACGTTGTTTTAAATCCCATGAGTATGTGCAATAGGGCATGTAGAATTTCTTTTTATATAAAAAAAACCCTGACGTTTGGAAATAAACAGGTACATGTACATTATTAATATGATTATTAATTTATCCTGTTAATTTGAGTACCGTAAATCTTCTTTACTGTCATTTGAAATACAGATTTCACTGGCTTAAAATGAAAATAAAACTAATATCAGACATTGGCATGCATTTATCACATATTCTAAAGCATGAAATCAATATTTAATTGACAGGTGCTATCTGACGAGGAGAAACGAAGAGTTTATGATCGTCATGGAGAGGAAGGGTTAGGTAAAGGTGATACTCATGGTGATCCATTCTCTAGGTAAGCTAGTGGTTATATTTTCTACACACCTTGCAGGTGTTAGTTGTTTTCTTAGAATTTTGTTTTAATAGCCCAGTAGAAATAGTTATAACAGATTTCAATCAATGATTTTTAGAATTCCTTTTGTTTTCTGGGGAAAAAAAATCAATATGTATGACCGTATTTGATAGATATGAACCTGATGACCCCTTTTATCCTTCAGGATTTTAATGTTATCTGAGAATCAGAATATTGTTTGTATATGGCCTTATGTCTTATTTGTAGTTTTTTTGGTGATTTTGGTTTTGGATTTGGTGGAATGAGAGAACAAGAACAGGAAATACCGCGAGGTGGGGATGTTTTAATGGATTTAGAAGTTACACTAGAAGAACTATATTCGGGTAACTTTGTTGAGGTTAGTACTTAGTAGTAGTATATTTGAATTTTCATTTGAGAAGAAAATGCATATTGTCCTGGTCAAACCTTCAAGGAAGATCACACGATTGCATCCGCTACCACTATTAGCATTAAATATGATATTCTATCGCTAAATAAGATATTGAGAACAATTATCTGGTTTTGGGTCAATTGAATTACTGTCTTGTCATGAATAGGAATAATTTGAGTTCATCTTCTATACTTGCCATCCACCTCTAGATAGTGATACCTCAGCAACAGTGTAAAACAACTGAAATTTTCACAGTTAGTAATTTGAGAGGTATATGTAAAGATAACACTGTACACAAGTGAATATAATTGAGGGAAGGAAACTGTACAACACTTAATTAGCAAGCAGATATGTAATCAACCCATAATCTATCAAAGTCTTGATTTTCTATTTTGTCATAGTTCAGAATGATCTAATCCACTTAATATCCAAGGTGTCTAAAGATCTAGATAGTTATTGTAATAATTTAAATGGAATAGACAGATATAGCTCTTACGTAATGCATCTTTATTGATAAGACACTATATGCCCACATTCCACTGGACTGTAAATTTGTATCTGCAGTATGGATGGATGGGTTATGTACTTAGTTACACATAAATACTGTTAAGCCTAGCAGTCCAATAAAAACTTGAAGTGATGTAATGAGGCTTTACACAGGGGTCCTAGAAACCGCTGTTATGATGTGCAGCACTTCAGGTATGCCCAATGGTGGTTTGTAACTCCATGCATTGTCATTATAATATTAATGTTCTTTAAAATGATATTACCAGTTATCCCCCTGTGTGTAAGTTTGTGTATTGTAATTGTATTGTAATTGTATTGTAATTGTAGGTTGTAAGATATAAACCAGTAGCTAAACCTGCTAGAGGTACTAGAAGATGTAATTGTAGAATGGAAATGGTCACAACACAACTAGGCCCTGGCAGATTTCAAATGAGTCAACAACAAGTTTGTGATGAATGTCCTAATGTTAAGTAAGTTCATAAGTAATTCTCAACCAGATCAAACTGATTAGATCTTCAAAAACTGTGCAATAAAATTGCCCAATATTCACTAAGAATGTTTTTGAGGAGACAAATGTTCATGTTTCAAAGACTACAAATTGCCTCCGTGAACTAGGCCTAAACAGGCATTATGCAACAGCTAAATATGTCTATTGCAGGTCTTTCCTTAGGCCTTAAATGCTATATAAATTAATAATTAGACATTAATTAACTTACCAGGCCCATAATCAAGTCTCGATGCCATTAGATGGCTGCAATATAAGTAGATTTAAATACATTTTGTGGTCGATGCGGTTACCGTAAAAATGGATAATCAAGACTTTGTTTATTATCGTAGTAATGACAGTCGAGGCTAGACTATAATTGTATCGCCCATATCTAGGCTCAGAGTTAAATAATTTTACTGAAATTTTCAGCGTATTCTGTTTTCGTTTACTATTTTTTAACTATTATAGCAAGAACTGTCAGCCCTTTCTCTAATATCGCTTTAAAGAAAAACAGAAAATAAATTTTATCCTCTGAACATGTGTTTCTTGACTAAATGGTTGGATGGCCAAATGGTTAGCACATGAGCACTGTATCATAAGGCCGGTCTTGAGTCAAGTGGCGTGGTTTCGAATCCCCGGTTGTACATGACAAGGCGTAGGGTTGTCTATCCAACCTCGTGGGTTTTCTCCAGGTCCTCCAGATTCCTCCCTCTGCTAAAGACCCCTGCGTGCAAGCAAAGTATTGAAATAAAATTAAACCATTTGACCTAGTTTGTTACGTGTGGACATTAAATCCCATTTCTCTCCCTCTCTCTCTCTTTCAAATATCAGCCTGGTTCCCACTAGATCAGAGGTAGAGCTAGCATTCCTGACATGGCAAATTTTGATTTGTCATTCGGATAGGATGTAAAACTGTGATATTGCTTTGTATCCATTGAAGTACATGTGAAAAAAACTTGTGACAGTTGGAAATTTTAAAATTGCATGGAAATGTCCCCATCTCCTTTAAATTGCTGCAATATGACTACAATATGTTTATTATTTGTTTGTTTACAGATTTGTTCCCGAAGAAAAAGTATTAGAAATAGAAATTGAACCAGGAATGAGAGATGGGCAAATTTATCCTTTTGTAGCAGAAGGTAAAAGAACTATTTCTCCTTGTACTAGATTAAAGTGTCTTTAAGATTCAAATCCTAGTGTGAGCTGATATGTATACAATAGGAATGCACATAAACAGGAGAGTCTACTTATCTTAATATTCTAACCCTAGATGGATAACAGCTACTTGAATCCATTATAAAAATTGGTTTCAAACACAACAGTATAATTAATGATGAGGCATATAGAATGAAATGTTGAAATCTGAACATTATTATACATTTTGTGAGCTTTTATCTCTCTTATTCTTTTGTTGTAATAATATTTTGTTATTTTCAGGTGAACCGCATGTAGATGGAGAACCTGGTGATTTAAAATTTAGAATAAAACAATCCAAGTAAGTATGTTTGTATATTTTACCCTGTTATAGCAACATAGTGTCAATAGAAGATACAATCTGATTAAAACACACATCCTATTTTGTATTGGTTTTTTTTATAGTTCAAAATTTCGTTTTGTTTGTCTACTACACTAAGATCTGGAAGAGTTGTTATATAACCTGCGTTTTGGATATCGTGAGGGATTAGCAAATGAAACCATATGTTGCGGCGACTTCTCGGCGTGCGATGCACTGAACTGTGGTTAAACCACTAGAAACATCAACGCTGATTGAATAATCAATGTCTGACGTCATAGGGTCAAACGCCGCTTGTATGACACCTGATGCGACCTTCCACAACTGATCAGATCTTCATGTAGTGTAGGCCATCGAAAGTAGAAAAAAACGAAACGAAATATAGATCTGTATTTTGATCAGAATGTAGAAAATAAATACTAGATACCGGATGATCGTGACAAACCTCTTTAGTTTATTCACACAGTATCAATAAATGTTCATGTCACATATATGTAAACAATGATCATGTAATATAACAAAAGATTAATTAACAGCTACTCCATGGTTTATTGTAATTTTAACTGTTATTTTATCTGATCCGTTATTCAGATATTGACTGAATAAAAATGTTGTTTATAAAACAAAATTCTGAATCCTGTAATTAATTTGTTCACAGCCAGGAGGGTTGTTGAGGAAAGGTAGAGTATATATACACCAACCCGTATTTATTTAGTGTTCCATAGACTTCAACAGTGATCACACTGAAACAAACAACACTGTGTATGTATTATGAACATGTCTTTTTTATATTTTTCAGACATAAAATGTTTGAGAGAAGAGGCGATGATTTATATACAAATGTTACAATTAGTTTAACTGATGCTCTTGTAGGATTCGAAATGAATATTGAACATTTAGATAAACACAAGGTAAGTTTCTTGCCCACATTCCCAAATCATTACTAATAAATTACCAACAAATTACTAATAAATGCTGCGTTTGAGTTATGTCCTGCTTTAAGAGTACCAACCTCGTGGGTTTACTCTGTGTCCTCCGGTTTCCCACTGCTAAAGACCCCTACACGCAATTGAACCATATGTTAATCCCGAAATGAACTAGTTTGTGTCGAGTAGACGTTAAACCCCATTTCTCTCTCTCTCTCGCTTTAAGAGTATTGACTTGAAAATAGCGATGTTACTAGTTAGGTTCTCGACATATAGATTCTAATGTTATTTTGAAACTTATGTTACGTTTCTATGCAGAACATTTTACTCATATCTATCCTGAATGGGTAATTACGTTAAAATGAAACTATTTAAACGCAGCATAAATCGGTTCACAGTTGCTGAAAAAGTTGTGTCATTATACAAACAGTTACGCTTGCCAGATGCATGTATATATGGTTGACAGCTAACTAGCAACACAGAGATAGATTTTAAAGTCTGTGAAGTCTTGCAAATTCTGCTCTTGTATTTAGACCATATAGGAATTATTGTAATTCCAACACGAGGTATAATTATAAAATAAATGTCTAAATATTTAATTGGTATATCTCGAGATTTAATAAACAGCAATAAATTGGAAACTATTAGGTTTTTGAAATTGTTAATTATTTTGTTTTGTTTATTATTAGGTACATGTTTCAAGAGATAAAATAACGTGGTCCGGTGCTAGATTAAGAAAAGCTGGCGAAGGAATGCCAAATTATGAGAATAACAATGTTAAAGGTGCTTTATTTATAACTTTTGATGTTGAATTTCCTAAAGGTGCATTAACAGAAGAACAGAAAGAAGGTAACTATTTTATAATGTATTTGTCTTGAATGCAGAACATAATATTTTTTCTGTCTGATGGTCAATATTAATAAAAAAGTAAATTGATCACAGATGTGATCAATACTAGGGGTCTCTGTTAATAGCTACTCTTGATTAAAGTATCAATTAATAACATCAATACTATAAGATCATTCAATATGGCATTCCCATACTGGTTCTATGAATCTGGCAGTTTGAGGCGCAAGGCTGATCAGTAATTCCAGTCAGTTATGAAAATGATTTACAAAACACAATGTAATAAAGATCAATTTCTTACGGAATTAGGATAGACAGTACATTCACCATATACTAAAGGTTTGATCAGTATATATACATAAACATCAATAATTGACTAGAATGATGGTATGTAATTATTGATTAGGAAAAGTATTCTTTGGAGATAATCAGTTTTGAAATTGTCAATCATTATTCCTCTATTATCAGCAAACCAAGCTCTATATTTACAAAAATTGGCACTAGGTTCTTGGTTTACCTTTTTGTTATTTTGTATGATTAGTTTAAGCAATTTGTTGGGGTTTTTTAATTTCAGGATTACGTAAATTATTAGACCAAGAATCGAAACAGACAGTGTATAATGGTCTACAAGGATTTTAACACTTAATTGTTGTTAGATGTTTTTGTTATCTATTTATTAGTAAAATTATCACCCTTGTTTTATTGGTGCAAGAAAAACTAAGGGTTTGGGGTCTTGTATAAAAAAATAAGAGACTGTAATGTAAATAAAATGGATGAAGACGTACAAACAAGAAAAGGATTATGTGCGGATATTAATGGAAGGATATGGATTATTTGTATTTGTGAATGTTGGTATACAAGCTCATCAAAAACTTGAAGCAGCTACTCTTGTTTCATATGTGATTTTGTAATTACCTAGACTCTAGCTGTTTTTTTCTTCATTTTTGCACTTATCCCACGATAATGATAAAATATGTCCCCTATTTTTGCATGAAGTGTTTGACATGGGTCATTTTGATCGACTAAAAAGAAAACTCTCTAGTTATGATTAGCTTAAAAATGATCTCGTCTGATCATAACCTTTTAATTTTCATAAACTATTGATTGATTTGGTACTGAGGTACATGATCACAAAGTTACTGTCTGTCTTAGGTCTTGAAATATTAGTATCAAACACTGATAGCATGTGCATGTAATATAAATCTTCAAGTTTATCTCATGACTTCTTCATCTATATCAACTTGAATCTTTTTCTACTTAATGCCATTTACCTTGAATATACTCAACATGGATACAAAAAAAAAAACCCAAATAATTGTCTAAATCTAATCTTTTACCTCTCATTTGTTTTAATATAATTACCATTTATGGCATTTCCAACCTGGTCAGTTTTCTCTGGGTCCCTCGATTTCCTCCCACTACCAAAAACTTCTGTGCACAAGCAAATTGTTGAAATAAAAATGTATATGTTAGTCATGAAATTACCTGCTCTGTGTCAGGTGGAACCTATCTATTTTTTATGGTATTTACCATTGTCATTAAATTACAGATCAAACTTTTGTTGGTTTTAAAATTAATATACTGGTACTGTTGATGGCCTCCACTCTAAAAAGATCTGACCAATTTGCATAGGGAGATTATGTCAGAGTTCACATATCTCCCAGAATTGCATACACAGCTCCAATGATTGGTTAATTCCTGACATCAAATAGAATATAGTCAATTAAGAAAAATTATTCAGATCTAAGTTTAGTGAAGGCAAATAAAACAAAATTTAAACAATAAAAAACTAAACTGAAGTTTATTACATAGTAAACATTTGTTATTTGGGTATTTATTTATCTGTAACCAATTAAAGGGAACTTCCCAAATATTTAAGATGAGGTGTTAGAGTAAACTTATCTTGCCTTGTGCATGACACCCATCACTACTTAAGCTAGTTGGTGATAATAGTTTGGATATCAGAATCCAAAGCAAGCTCTGGGATAATAATTGTTTCATTGTAAATAAGCAAAATAAAAACAACTCTTGAAAAATATATTCATGCAATGGGTTGTTTTTCTTATTCTCTCTCCTTCATGCATATCACAGGAAGAACAACCCAACTTCTAAGATCTCACTTAACTAATTCTTAGAAGCTTTCAGAATTTATAATCAAAATTACACACTATGATAAAAGGAGGATTTTTTAATGATTAAACTACACCAGATGTTAAACTCATCTTCACCAGCTCATGCACCCTTTATTCCTTCTATTCACCACTGTCAAAGTATATGTTCTATGTTAGTCTATTCTGGTGCGAGATGATGATGTAGCAAGGGAATAAGTATGTAGACAGAGGGATGTAAAACTTATCTTCACCAGCTCATGCACCCAATACTTCTATATGTTTCAAAGTTATACTGTAATTTGAATCAAGCCTGGTGGGAGAAGGTGATGCATCGAATTCAGTATTTTTCTGATTTTAGATATTATAGATCATCGCTATAATAAATTTATTATGAAGTTTTTTGTTATGTTTGTTATATGAAGAAATGTTTTGTTATTGTAAATGTTTATTACCTTAGAACTCAATTTATTATAAATATATATATGTTGTTTGGCATATGATAGAACAAGATGGTTTAGAACATTTTGAAACAATATTATTCTATTGTATGACATGGTAACATTTCTCTTAATCTGAAACTGCCTAGGAATCAATGTTCAGGATGGACTGGCAAATTGCATTGTTTAGAAATATATGGGCTCCTTTGAGCCTTCGGTCAATACATTTGTATGTGTGGTTCTTGGAGGTGCAGGAGAGCTCAGATATTTCGGACTAATGAGTCACTTGTCACACCTGACATAACTTCTAATTATAAAGCGATCATGTTCAATAGTTTTTTCCTAATTGGAACTGAAATACATTTAGATTTAATTGTCAATTTGTGTTCACTCTACACCCCTTGAGATCCAAAATATGCTTCTTCATTTTAACATAGAATGTATGATTATCATTTTGCTTTATTTGAAGCTATGATATTGGAGTGCAGTTTATCATTGTATATTAAAATCATCAATAATTCAACATAAATGTTATGTTCTGTCTAAAACTAGAGATGGTTTTGTGAACATGCTTCGGAATTAGTTTTATGGTGTCATACAACCAACAAAATGTGATTCATCCATATTTAAAAATTACACATTTTGGTATGTATGTTAATCCATAAAATTACATAAAACGCTTTAATTTTCTACTGAAAATGCTTTGATATTTATGTAATTTAGATTAACAAATTAATTTGTCATTTCCATATATTAAAGTAAAGAACCTTGAATTTGAATTGATTTTCGAAGATGAGCTAGAAATTATGTGGGGGGAAAAGCGGCGCTCTTAACAGATTTGTCTCCCTTTTGACATGGATATAAAATGCAAGCCGAGTTTTGGCAGATTGTGAAGTTATTTTACTAAATTTCCAGTACAGAGGTCCACACCAGGTTAATTCGAAGGGGTGGAGCTTACCGTGCATAGGGACCCAAGTTACTATACTTGTAATGTTAAACTGTGTGTTTAACGTTACAATTGATACAGTCTAAGAATCCTTACGCAAGTTCAAATAGGTTCAAACGCACAATTGTCAACACATATCATTACAGTTTGTATTGGAATAAGTAATTCTATGACAAATAGTGAAGACTGGACCACTAAAATAGTTACCAAACAGTTTTTCTTTGCATAGCGATGTTTCTTGTAATGACGTTTTACACAAGCCGCCATGACACCAGCCAAATCAGATAATTATGCGGTAAGGCTTCACCTTTATTTCAATAGGAATTGATTTATTATATGTTAAGCCAGGTGCAGTACTGTTTTGGGTCAGTTTATGTGTAAATTAAGGGAGCTATAGGCCAGTAATCTTTTTGTAGTGATTTCACTAAAAAACTTGCGCAAAGGAACTCTGTAGGACAAGCCACTACTGTGGCTGGAGTAAGGCGGAAGACATCAGTAGTGGAACCATTTCTAAGGGACCCCTCAAGAAAATTTGACGGCCGCAAACGCGTTTTCCATCTATCTATTCCAGCCAGTAAATACAGCAACTTAAATTCCCCCCACCAATAATTGGCCGTAAGTGCTCCTTTCTCCAGGTTATTGCAAGCAAATTAATATTCAGTTATGCGGTGGACAGACTAGCGCGAACGATTCGGCCGAATCAATCGGCGTCGGAATTCTCCTAGTGCCGAATGATTCGCCCGAATCAAACATGTATGATATATTCGGCGCTGATTGATTAGGCCGAATGATTCGACTAATGTGTCCACAGCTTTAGATACAGTGACGTAACTGGAAGAGGCCTGACTATAGAAGTGAGACTTCCAGAAGTAGAACGTAGACTTTCAGAAGAAAACCCCCTGCAATGCACTATACTATACTGATTCGTGGGTTAAGAGCCCCCAAATTGCGAGGGTCGTGATAAGTTAACTTTACTGAACAGTCGAATATTTCATTCCATCTTACTTCCGTTGTATCTATGACAGATTGGGTAATTAAAGTACCACGGGTTAGAGTTTTACTCACATTCTATAGCAGTGGCTAAAGCTCCAGAATGGAAAACCATCCAAGAACTTTTGATCCTTAACACATAGTTTACTTTTCATCTCATGAATTGGACAAAAATTGTCGCCTCTGGAAGGTCCACAAACGTCATTCATATTTTGTGTAAAAGGCAGTTGGCATAACTCCAGAACGGAAGGTCCGATGCGCACTATAGTTGAACTCACCTAGTTATCTAGTGATACTTAAACATGCATTATGCAAGAGCAAAATCTGCTTATTACAAGTCTTCCTTTAGGCCTGAAATGTTATCTAAATTATCAATTAGACATTAATTAACTTATCCAGACCATAATAAACTCTCGATGTCAAGGCTAGCCTTCGATGTTGGCTGGATTAGATTCCTATATGCCGCTAACGCCTATTGATAATTAAATCAATAAAAGTGGATAATCGAGACTATGCTGTTTATATTAATGATTTTAGTAATGATGACCGAGACTATGCAAAAATTTCACCCGCTTCTTTCTCGGCTCACAGTGGATCAATTTGACTGAAATTTTCAGCAAATTACCTTTACACTATCTAGTTTTTAACTATTATAGCGAGAACTGCCATCTCTTTATCTTATCTCCCATAATGTATCTTTAAACGCTCGTTTTAAGTTTCATCGAAATCGGATAAAAATTGTTGCCTCTAGCGGGTCCACAACCTTGGTTTTACTATTTGCTTAAAGGGGAGCGGCCATTTGACGGGAAGTATCGGCCCGATTTTCAAGAAATTCGGACTCAACCATAATTATGGTGTAACGATGATATATACTCTTTAAAAAAAGAAACGCATCGTGACATTTCGTCGTTGGTGTACCCTCGCTCTACCATCGCCTCGCTGCAACAGGAACCGCGACTCGTCGCTGAACAAAACTGTTCTCCAGCGTTGCTGTGGCCATACCCTGTGTGTCTGAACCCACTGAAGTCGGATTTGAAGGTGTCGGCGTATTTCAAAACAGCAAGTCTAACGGAACGTCTAGGTCGTAATCCGGTTTCACGTAGGCGTGTCTCAGATCCTACGCCGTCCAGGAATTGCTGCTGCAGTAGAGGTTGCTGTTGTGAACGGTTTCCACAAATGACGTTAACTGGATGTGACCATCCAGGACAGGTGGGGGTCACTCTTGTTTGGCCTGAGCTTCGGCGGTCGCGTGTTGAACTTCGCTGTCGGTACCTATCCCAAAGGCGAGAAATGGTACTTTGGGAAACATTCAGCAGCCTGGCTACACCTGTATGGGATTCACCTGCTTGTAACCGAACAAAGCGTTGTTGGGTTGTTCTTCTTTCAGATGTGGCATCACTTGGCACGTTGAGTGTTTCTATGTGCAACTGATTTTGAAACCGAGAACCCCGGGATTTTAAAGGCCTTAGATTTGGGCTCCATGCGAAAAGCTTGCGAAGTTGTGTCTTGGTGCAATCAATTGAAAACAAATTTCGGCAATAAGTATGACCAGTCACAATTAGTGACCCTAAATTTAAAACCAATAATGAATTTCTTTTATACTTACATAATAACATTAAAAACAAGTAAGATTTATTGAAACAACGATCCCGTTCAAATTAGAAGATGATGAAAAATGGACTGTACGTTTAATTTTTTGAAGAGTTTATTTGAACGATTTTGAAAATTAGATAAAAATTGCTACCTCTAGAGGTTCCACAAGCTGATTTTCGTACAATCACGGTCTATATGCTTTTATACTACATGTATTTGAATTTGAACTCAGCCGTAATGGTACAACGTTGATATATTTGAACGGTTTTTACAATCAATAAACATTGTGACCTCTCGAGGGCCCACAAGCTAAAAATGCGATTTATCGTACTATCAAGGGCCATAATCCAATAATTTACGATTCGATTGCGACAATATCGAAAGGAACCGAGATCTTTGGGTTATAAACATACATTGTAAGTTTCATGAAAATTGTGACCTCTAGAGTGCCCACAACCTTGGTATGTATATATTTGTCCATTATTCAGCATCACAGGAAACCACCATCGACAGCAGTGATTTCATGGCAAGGGATTAAAAAACCATAAAATTGCTTTGTGTGGTGATCCAATCAATATGTCCTACATTATGTGGCTGATCTGAATCCTAAACAACCAATCAATCGTCGCGGGGTACGAGTTTCCGGCCCTTCCCGGTGAAATTTGGGCAATCCCACTCTATGCCAACCTGAATTCCAACCATCTGATCACTGTTGCAGCTGTAGAGTGGCTACAGACAAAATGTTTTAATCCATAGTCAATTCAGTACAAATTCGTGATATTCAATTGAACGAAAAGTAAAATTAGATTTTGGGCACTTTATTTCTCAACTAGATTAAATGATAATTTTTGTTTTCACTTTACCCGTCTGCCCGAAAATCAGATTGCCTGAAGGTTGGGGGTAACTGCCCCTCTGGCTCGTACGCCTATATGAACCTGACAGAAGAATACATATATACAGCCATGTTCGTGATTACGAACTATATACATATGTACAAAGAATAAGGAATATATAAAACCAGTTAAAAACTGGGTCAATGAACCAATATCCGCCGAGAAGATGGTGGGTCACAGACTATAAGACTATTTTTATGTCACTTCAATATTTTGGGCTTCATTATTCTGTATAATCAGCACACCTATGTAAATTTTCACGTTATGCACAAGGGTGCATGCGAACAGGGTATTTGTCTGGGCTGCGGTATCACAATAGATCGAAGCGGACATGTACACATTGGCGTGCAAGTAAAAGAACCCTGATAATAATTCCGACATCTGGAGGATCAACACGCTAAAAACGAGACTTTTCGTACAACCAGGGGTCACAATCCAGTAAGTAACGACCCGATACCTGCCAAAATCGAACATATACGAGTTCCGTCAAAATCTGCTCAAATTTGTGACCTGTAGAATGTTCACAAACATATGTGGACATCGTGCACGAGTTCCGTCATAATCTGCTAAAATTTGTGACCTGTGGAGTGTTCACAAACATAATATGTGCACGGCGATCATATAGACATCAGAGAAGTGTTTCTAATATCTTCACTTGCTGGTAAATAACCACTTTATCAGGATCACTTTATAATTTAAAATTGTTCGTTTTGTAAGGCTTAATAAAGGGTTAATTGACTAATTCTGTTCAATTTTTAATCAATTTTTCTGTCACCCAAAGGACAATCAAAGTGGTTATTTCTGTAATCCGATTTAAATATTTTGTTGGTAATGGAAGCATAGGCGTACGGGGAAATTTTTGACTGGGTGGGGGGGCGGTGGTGGTTGGTGCCCCAAAAATGTAGTTAGGTTCTTAGTATGTTACAAAATAATAATAAATTCGCTGTTAAATTGGACACATTCAAGAACACAATATTCGCTGTTAAATTGGACACATTCAAGAACACAATATTTTTTATACAACTTTTACAAAGTAAAATTGTGTGCCCAAATTTTCCCAGCATTTGGTGCCCAAAATGCCCCCCCCCCCAGCTCGTACGCCTATGAAAGTGATGTCAACGTGTCGAGTCTTCGTTTGCTGCATTTTATTTTATGACACATGTAACACATTTATAAATGTTACTGATATTGCCGAATTCATTGCCTAATTCAGCACCCATTTTATAACATCCTGTGCAATGCTCATGTGGGAATCTGTTTAACGGTTCAATGTTGTCAGTTCAAGAGTAACGTGGCAGTTCTAATGTTTGATATTATTATATCATCTTTAATACTCAGCTTTTCTCTTTCA